TTATTCAAATTTAATTTTATTATTTTGACTGTTTTATGCTGAGACTCTTGTACGGATCTCTATTATCCTGTTTGTATTATTTTTAATTAGTCAATATTGAATGTGTCATTTGACGTCTAGAACCATCATGTACCACCCCAACCAAAAACAATAAAAAATTTAATTATAAAAAAAAAAAAGTTTCTAAATGAAAGGTTCTCTAATTGATTAAGTGTAAATAATATTTTTATTGTCGACAAATAGTCTTAATTCTTATTGATTTATAATTTGGTTTTACAAATGCTAGTTTGTTGCTAAGTTTAACTGTGATGTCCTTTTTTGTCAGACACAAATACATCTACCTTATTATGATTGTTTAAAGAGAAGAGTAGAAAATATCCACATGAGAATACATGTGGTTGTTGCTATTTTTGCCATAAAAAGGAATTAAACAATTAGTCTATTATCAAAATGTTGCTGGTTCATTTTCTTTTGATTGACTATGTGATTAATTACCTAATTGTTGTATTCTGAGGTAGTTTGGGGATCAAAAAGCTAGATAGGTGTGGGTGTTTTTCAATGTAAATGTCAGGCTTTGCTCAACAACCGCAATGCAAACAGGTTTAGCTCACAGGCTACAGATTCCCACCAAAATAAAGCAGCTCTGAATAATAACAGACTCACCTTGATGCGGAGCGACTGATGGATATCTGCAGCTAGCTGTCCTTTCCACCATTGTAACTCCCTCTCCATCTTTCCCATCCAGAGGAGACTTCAAGAATCAAGTTTTACCTGCTGACACACACGTGCCCAAAATGAGACAGAGTTCAGACACAGAAAAGTGGCATGCTGGGCTGAGAGAGAGGAGGACAACTAGGATGTGTGTAGTTTGTAAACTGGTTATTTAAGGAGAAAACCATCTGACACAAGAGAGGGTGAAGTTGTGAAGTTGAATAAAAGTTAATGTACATATTTTCTCAATGACATGATTTTAGGATTTAATCAGATAGATGCTTGAGTGTGCACTGACTTGTAAAAAAAAAAAGTCTATTTAATGAGAAATGCAGTAAAGTTTTGAACACCTTGCTAATCCCACAGCAGAGGTCTGTTCGCCTGCAATAGGCCATTTTTTCTGCTCGGGAATTTAAATGGCTCGGTTAAATACCCGCTCGACCACGCTGCAGGTCAAATGAATCAAAGCAGCCTTTCACTAACGCCATCTTTCACACGGTTGTTCATCTCTGACCTCAGATAACCAGCAAATCTCACACTTTCGTTATCATTCAAAACGCGTCTGCACCACGAGACAGCAGCCAACAGTGAGGCTACACAAGTTAACTGCCCACCGAGCTCACACACACACACACACTCGCCTCGTTTTAAAACACAAAAACAGCACACTCGGTGAAACTAACCGTCTCCACACACACACAGCTCGTTTCTCCAGCACGACAGACACTGGGGAAACTTTTCATCTCGGTGGTTATTGCATATGCCACTCACCGCTCCGACGGGAATGCCCCCCAGACCCCTTTGTCTCAGTCCGACATCCTGAACCAGAGAACTCCTCTTCGGCTCAACTTTGAGAAAGACCTCTTTTTTTCCGGCGAAAAGACAACGTTCAAATCCGCTGGCAAGTTCACACAACAGCCGCCATCGCCAAATCCCGGCAACAGGCGTTTGGTTGCGCCGTTTCCCCCCAACTGTTTACACTTTTCCGAGAGATCTGGCTCCGCCGTTTTCTCCCCGTTAGCTCCGCCGTAACAAAGTAACGTCCTCGGCTGCACCAGCTGCTGCTGTTGCGGTGCGAGGCTCGTGCGCTCGACGTGAAGGGCCTCTCCAGTCTGGGAGTTGTAGTCCTTCAGAGGTCAGTGTCAGAACTACAAACACCAACACATGTTTACAAGGCCGCCTTTTTTAAATACTTTTTTTTAAATACAGTGTGAATTATATGTTATTCTATTTTTTATTATTAACAAATTTTAATTATTTATTATTCTTATTTTTTTCATTGGAGCTCATTTAGCTTATGTACAAGACAGTTTTCATTTGAAGCCTGAGGAGAAATCGTTTGATTGATTGATAAACAGTGTTGGGGAGTGACAAGTTAACAGTGTTACGTAGCCTAATTAAATTACAATACAAATGTAACTGTAATCTCCTACATACTGAGGGGAAAAATGTAATTAAAGGGGAGCATCACCTAAATTAAGAATTGCAATATGTTTTTTCCATAGCCTCAGGAAGTTCACTCAGTACTTGTGAACATGAGCTACTCTCTCTCAAAGCCAGAAACCAGAGACACAAGTCTCAAATCTGTGATGTCATAGGGTATAAAGTCCCGAGCTGCTCCATAAACAATGAATGGGGGCCTGGTTTTGTGGACCCACACATTTGTTTGTTTCTCGTTTTTAAAACCCTGCACATATTTGGGATATGGTGTTTTCATGAGCACAGAGAAATACGGTTATTCATATTCCCTGTATACATGATAAATGCTATCCCTGTTACTGAATACTACATTCTATTTGCACAGGCGCAGTGATGTTTACAAGACAAACACATTTTTGTAACCGTTCATCTGACATCTCTCATCCTGGAACTGTTAATGTGATTGTGGCTTAAAATAAATCCACTTTTGCTTTTATCGGGTTTATCGCTATTAAATGCCAACAGAGCATTGCAGAATTGACTCCCTCCGCCTGATCGCAAGCAATGGGAGACGAGAGTGACTTCACTTTCCTTTTTTGAGTTTCTCATGAACAGAATAAGGTTTTTTTCCCAGTTACTGTAAACAGAATATGGTGTTCAAATGCTCAAACACATGAACAGGATACTCCAATAATCTGCTAATAAAGGGGTTATTCATGTACATGTGAATGCACCATCTAAAACATTTTTTTCCCAATTTATTGTCTATGGAGCAGCTCCAGACTTTGTACCCTATGGCATCACAAATTTGAGTTTTAGGATTTTAGCTTTTGGATTTGGGAGAAAGTTGTTCATGTTGACTTAAACATTCAGACTGTCTTAGACCATAGGAATAATATATATCAAATTTGAAAATGAGTGAGGTTCCCCTTTAAATTACATTTATTTATCAAAATAATGGTGATTACAAAGGGGTTACATCTGAATATATTATTTTCTGTAAAAATTTTATATGTTAATCATAACTCTAATTCTATTGCCTTGTAGCTTTTCGCCCTGTAGGAGCGCCCTCTTTTGGCATAGCCTATTTCCAAACATTTTGAAGCTTTTTTTTGCCATGACCAAAACATTTCTTAGAAAAGTAATCTAATGTAATAAGTTGCATTACCCTGATGAAGTAATTAAATAAAATTAGTTACATTATTACATTTTTAACAATGTTATAAGCAATCTGTAACTTATTACATTATTACACGCAGAGGACCATGCTTCACATAGAAGAAGTACAGCAACAACCAGATAAAAATGCCCTTGGCTCAAAGTAACCTGGCTGAATTTTTGGACAGGCTATGAGCTAATGCTAATCAAAGACATTACTGTAACAATAATGAATGAAATGAAAAGTTGTCAATTAAAAATGATCTAAATGACACAAGTGTCAGTTAAATTTCTTCTGTAAATTACTTTTTATCCACACCACACAGTGCTTCTGTATCCATCATTAACAGCCAGTGAGATGAGCAATGTTTGATCTGTCTAATGAGATGGAAATCTCCCCTCAGAATGATGTACGTGCAGAGCTTGACATTGGAATGCTAAATCTGTTTTAAGGGGGACATTTCCCTGGGTCCAACTTATATCTGAATTTAAGACATGGAGCCTGTGTGAGCATGACTCTGTGGACACAGGTGTGATGTTCAACGTATCCAAATGAGGAAATAAATCGGGTTACAGAGACAGGACAGCGATATAAGACATACAGTACACACAGTAGTTCTCTTTGCCCTTTTCAGTCTCTGCTCTCCATCCTTCCCGTCATTGTCTCATATTGATCTAAATAAAACAAGGGTGAAATTAAACTATTTCTCAAATTTACTGGTAATCCAGGGAACCCTCTCACCTCATGGTCCCTAGACCAGCCCCACTTTGGAAACATTGTGGTAATGCATGCTAAGGGCATGTTAGCTATTATCAATTGTGTCGAGTCTAATTTTTAATGCATTGCAAAAATTGTAGAACTATCCAGAGTCAATTTCTTAGTTTTACTGAATTTAAAAAGCTTTAAATGGGACACACACATCATCTAATGTGCTCAGGATTCATTAGAGGGTTTCAAACATATGGCCCTCGGGCCAGATCAGGCCCACTGGATGACTTTGCACATCTAACATTGATGCACTTATGAAGAATAAGAGGTGCCAGGTTTCGGGAGCATGTAAAACAGCCAGTAGCCTACTTCATGTAAAATAGCATACAATTCTCTGAGAAAAAAAATAATGAATACTTTCTGTGGTCATATTTAAAGATATTGAACATGAGCAGCTTCAGTACAAAATAATCTGTATCAGACTTCTATCTTAAAACTATGCTGCAGGACTACTGCTAAAACCTTTGATTTGTAAATGGTTTGAAAGGCAGGGGATGACTTCACCTGCTTCCTCAATGACTAGCTTGGTGTGGTGATGACAGCATTACTACACAAGAGTTGAAATGCATGAAAAAAAAATGTACATGTACTGAGACGTATTGGTGAAATTGCACTTATTTTTCTGAGGGTATCTCAGGCTGTTCATTAGCTGTTTTATGAGTGGATAAAAGTTTTCAGAATATACTTCATTACACCTAATGATAGGGACAAACTTGGAGGTGTTGATATTTGTAGGTTATTATGCAATGGTTTTACTGGTGCGGCCCACATCAGATCAAATTGTGCTGTATGTGGCCCTGCATTTTACGGTAAAATAAATATAGCAATTTCACTTTCAATTGTACGTTTTCTTTGTGTATTTTTTTTTTTTTTTTTTTTAAATCAGCATTTCAGAAGACGGTCGTGTGCCACCTTCTATTAATGGAAATAAAACAACCTATGGCAACCTGTATGCTTATTTATTGCTTATTGGAGATATCTTAAAAGATCTTGTCAGAATCATAGCACCATTAGGGATACTGAGGCCAAAACACAGGGCTCAGATTAAAACAGTTTCAAGTGTTTCCCCAACTGTGGTAGACTTGTCTTTCCTGGTGTGCCCCCTGGTGTCAGAACATGTTAATGATTCACTGAGGCCTTCCATTGTGGAGCAATCTTTAGCCAGTTACTAAAATAATAAAAAAAAATCTATCTCAGGATTGACTGTCATCCTGAGCGTTAGCTTTTTTATCAGCCTCAATGAGATAGTCCTGGTCGGCATAGATAAGAAAGCCAGTGAAGGTGCTGTCTGTCCAGAAAGGGTCAAAGAAGAGTCCGTTCTGCTCTGAGTAGAAGATCTGCAGCCAGACCTGGTCTGACTGCTGCAGGTGGAGGACAGTAGAACCAGACGCTACATCATGGTTCCCTGTGTTCGCATCAAATGTCTTGATCTTGTACTGTCCATTGTGGACCAGCCCAATGGCCAGGTGCTTATTTGCCAGAGTGATATCATATGTGAAATAATAGACCCCAGGGACAACACAGACAAACTTCCCGCTGCTGGCGTTGTAGTGATTCCCCTCGTTCAGCAGAATCCGGCTGAAGCGGATGGGCATCCGTTCTTTAGGGTAGCTCTTTGTCACAGCCACAGAGAAGGCTGACCGGGCCGCACTGCCACAACTACACCCTCCTGGAGCTCCTTGCTGGCCCGTGTCGCCTGGCTCTCCTTTTTGTCCTCGTTTTCCAGCTATCCCCGGTATTCCTCGCAGCCCCTTCAGTCCTCGAGGTCCAGCTTTGCCGATGATACCTTCCCGCCCTTTCACACCTGGCTTGCCTTGGTTCCCTGTCCTCCCTGGATCACCTGACAAAATGATGACAGAATGCTTGTAATTTTAAAGCTTGGCAGGAAAAGGACAAACATTCAAAATATTAGCTCAGAAGAAATTCACAGCGAAAGAAATGTAGAGTATATCATCCTACATTGCAACGTTACTTATATTTGGGGTCACCAGAATGGATGCATTACTGAAGGTGTGTACCAGGCACAGGCACAGGCCCAGGGGCCCAAGGTGTCAGGGGCCCCACTGGCCTTCACCTGCAAAATGCCAATCAAATTAACATGTATTGACCAGACCAGAGATTCAAAATGACCACAAAATACATAAAATGACTACAAATAGATGCAAAAAGAAGAATTACTAAAAATAGACACAAAGCAACTAAAAGGAGATGCAAACAGCTGCTAAGAGACAGAGACTGACAATGATTAAGACAAGGGGCAAACAACAGACTCAAAATGGCCACAAAGAGTCACAAAATGACTTCAAAGGGATGAAGAGCAACTTCAAAGAGACACCACTGACCAAAGAGACTCAAAACAACAACAGACTCAAAATGACTACAATGAAGAACAAAACAGCTACAAAGAGGAACAAAATGACTTCAGAGAGACACCGAGCAACTTCAAAGAGAGATGCAAAGCAACTACAAAGAGACACAAAATGACCACAAAGAGGAACAAGGCAACTACAAAGAGACTCAAAACAACAACAGACTCAAAATGGCTACAAAGAGTCACAAAATGACTTCAAAGAGACACTGCGCAACTTCAAAGAGATGCTATTGACTTACAAGAGACACAATGCCACTACAAAGAGACTCAGAACAACAACAGACTCAAAATGGCAACAAAGAGTCACAAAGAGACGAATAGCAACTTCAAAGAGACACTAATGACTTATAAGAGACAAAAAGCCACTTCAAAGAGACTCAAAAAAACAACAGACTCAAAATGACTACAGAGTCACAAAATGACTTCAAAGACACAGAAAGCAACTACAAGGAGACTCAAAACGGCTACAAAAAGGGGCAAAACAACCAGATATAAAAAAAAAAACACAAAAATCTCAAAACTACAAAGAGATGTGTAACGACTACAAAGACAAAAAATGACAAAAAGAGTCTAAACAACTATTAAAGGACAACTTCGGTGTTTTTCAACCTGGGCCCTATTTCCCCATGTGTATGTGTGCGTATGATTCATGGGTACCACTCGTTCTAAAATTGGTTTCATATTGAGGCGCGAAACGAGCTAAAACGGTAATGGGGGCAAATGCGTCTCGTATAAAAGTGCTTTTTTTCGCCACTGACCGGTTCAGATCGCCAGTGCTATCTCTGTATATAGCATATTGTAGCGGCCCTGGGGCAGTGGTGAGTGTAAATGAGTGGAGTCAGCTGTCAGTCAGTGCTGGAGCAGAGAGGGGGAGGGCTGCCCCGCTAGGTACTGTAAGTGAGTATGTGTGTATGAAGTGTGTGTTTTTTCGCCACTGACTGGTTCAGATCGCCAGTGCTATCTCTGTAAATAGCATACTAGCCTTTCCCTTACCTCTGGGCTGTGTGATGTCACGAGCTTTGCTCCACTGTGTCTGTAGCTCTCTCTACTCGTGGGACAGCCTTTTTCTTGAGGAAGAGGTGTTTCGGGATTGGATGTCTTCTCTTCTTCGGCTGGCAGTAGTCATCATGGGAGAAGTGAGTACTGCAGATCCGATGGTCTGCAAAGCGCAGTGTCTGGAGAGGAGTGTTAGCAGCCATTTGTAGCACAACTAGCCACAACTTCAGCATCTCGTCGTCCGACAAAGGCAGCCTATGAAAGCTGTACGGGGTGTCGTGCAACATCCTGTTCTTGTGTTCAGGAAAAAGGCCCGTTTATTTGAGCACTCCAAAAACTCCGGTAACACTCCAGGGGGTAGCACGTAAAAGACTCTGTCCCAAACTCTTCTCTTCTAGCGTAACACACACAGGGACGCATTTGCCCCCATTACCGTTTTAGCTCGTTTCACGCCTCAATACGGAACCAATTTTAGAATGAGTGGTACCCATGAATCATATGTACACATACACATGGGGAAATAGGGCCCAGGTTGAAAAATACCGAAGTTGTCCTTTAAGACTTTGTGTCCTGCTCTTATAGATTTGATGGGGCCTTCATTGTCTTATAATCCACTCATGGTCACCAGAGAGGTCGAACTCCCTGATGGACGACCCTTAAAATCTGTTTTGAAACTCCAATCACAGAAACCCAAATAGACTTGATGGATATATAGATTTGGGAATGGAGAGAAGTGATGCTGTGTATAAACTACTGTGAACACCAATCATAGATATTTAACCAAAAAGCTCAAACAGAAGTCATGTGTCTCTGTAGTGGACTTCTTCAACATATCATCAGTTTAAAATCATGTTTATAAGCAGCTGTCATAAAACTGTGATGTCATCAAGTATCAAGCTGACAGGACGATACAAAGTATGTTTAAGCGGTGAAAGAGGACCCAGGCTCTCAAGAACACCAAAGAGAAAGGGTTGGCATTACAGTAGAAGAGAGTAAGTCAGTAACTACCTGCTGCTCCCTTTTGTCCCTTCTCTCCATCCTTCCCATCCGGGCCATCCTTCCCTGGGGGCCCCATGGGGCCCATGGCCCCTGGAGATCCAGGGGCTCCGGGGTTACCAGCAGGCCCTGCTGGGCCTGGAATGCTGCAGACCAGCTGTGAGGAGTGGATGGTGATGTTGCGACCTTTCTTGGGCAAGGAATGTGTTGATTGAGAGAAGACAACTGACGGCAAACACATCATCACACATATCTGGAGCATGATGGTCACTGTGGAGCCACGAGAAGACGAGGGGGAAAAACAACAAATGTTTTAATTGTGTGAGTTAGTCGCAATCATATGATTCAAAGTTCAACCAAGAACATTCAATCTGCCCAAAAGACTGTACTGGAGAGTGGTGTCAGAGTACATGCAAACTATCTACAGCTTTAATCAGATGAAAAGACAGTTATTACCCTAACGATGAGGTCAGTTTCATGCTATGACTCAGTGCTTAATGAGAAATATGACACATTAACAATGCACGAAAAACTCAAAGCAAAGAATGTCGCTTACAGCATGTTTTTGCAAAGGGAGTGTATCGGACATTTCAAAAACTGAGCGAAAGAACTCACCGGTTGAGAAACTATGACCCATGGGCATTTTTCAGCTCTATCCAAGTCCTTTTTCTGCACCAGACTACACAACCTCTCCTACATGATTTTCCAATAATCGGGTGAGATAGCATTCTTCAAGAGAAGAGCTGCAGAGAAATGTGCAGCCCAGTGAATCATAGTCCATAACATCCGCCCTGTTTAGCAAGTAGCCTACACTGCCAGCGAATACTTTCACCCTGATGTCATTACATTCAAGTCAGTGCAGCAGTGGTGCACAGCTGAAGTGGTGACGCATCACTTGTTCACAAACTCTGTGGGAAAATAGGATGTTATATAACAGACATGATACATTGTAAAGCGCAAAGCCATTTAGGTTTTATAATTATGATCAAGTTACAACTTTGTGTATTTTAAATTTTCCAGAAAAGGATTTTTAATGTGCCAGACCAAACAGAACAACATGGTGGTCTGCAGTATAGAAGTGTATAAAATGCACAGTGAATAATACCAGATGTGTTTGTGTTTATTGCTGTGATGCAGAGCCAAGAGCCCAGAGACCAATAAAAACGTTCCAGCTGCTGGGAGAGGCAGTGCCTTGTGTTTAGAGATCTACTGTATTCATCTTTAACTGGAAACATGTGAACAGAAATTACAAAAGTGGTTGTTGTGTTGCAGGTTTCTATGGGAAACTATTAGCAACAACAAAAAAGATGCAATCACACAAAATTCAGTTTGTACATCCTGTACAGTAGACAGTCACTGTCATACAATGAAAATGAGTTGGAATAATATTTACATTGTGTGACAGTGGGGGAAAAATATTCATCACTAAAAGCCAGAAATCTCCAAATCACTGCAGGAGAGTTTCTAGATTTGGCCAAGGGACAACAGTTGATGGTAATGCTGATCAATGTATGTAAAATAAAAACTTTTCACACAGGACAAAGTATTCAGACAAATACGCAGTGTTTTATTATAAAAATGATGCATTAATCCCACTAAAAGAAGTTACTCTTCTCAAATTACTGCTGAGACTGAGCGAGGCTCCCAAACCTAAAAAAGCTGTAATATTTACACTTTAACGTAAAATTGTTTAAGGCCCCGACCACACAGGAAGAGTTTTGCAGGTTGCACAATGCAAGAGGCACTGCACTGCCTTTTTTAAAAAAATATATTGAATGCCACTAGTTAGGGGGGGAAAAAAAAAAAAAAAAAAAAAAAAGCTTGTGGTGCCTTCTTATTGTTGCCAGGCAACCACCCCATCACGTCCTTGTACAAACCTACCCATGACATCAATCTACCTTTTTTTCCCCCTCCAGTAATTAGTATATAGTTCCTTAAATGCTGAGGCAGAGGGTCCTTGCTGTAGCTCTGGTTGAGGGTGAGAGGCTGTCAGCAGATAATGTGTCGGTCACAGGGAAACAGAGATCTGTGCGGGTACATGAGACCCTAAAAAAGAGGGTGGATCACGGGGAGTACCACCAGTTGGTCCAGGAGCTTCGGCAAGATTATGGCCGTTTTCAGGCATATTTTAGGAGGACTCAGGGGCAGCTTGACAACCTGCTGTCTATCCTCAGGCCCTATAGCTCTGGGTATCTAGCAACCGCTACCACCAGTTCCTCCTCCTTTGGTAACCAACCGTTAACTTGTTGTCATGACTACCAGAAGGCCCACCCCTAAAATCATCTGATTGGACAATGGGGAAAAAAGATGACCAAAAGCAAAAATGCCAGGCGCCTAGAGCACAGACATGTGAGGCGTGTCGCAACGCAAAAAACACGAGCAAAAACCTTCATTCTTTTAAAAAACAATTACAAAAAGGTGCCTCCAGCTACTACAACGCTTTCTGAGTGATCAGGGCCTAAAGGTGCAGCCAGCTATTCTAATACATTACATTTTTTATAGAATTTGGTGAATATCTCCAGCTTTCAGTCCTGAGGGAATGCTGTAAAAAAACAAAACAAAACAAAACAAAAAAAAAACGTTTTGGTGTTCATACACAGTCCTGGCTCATGGTGGCTCAGACCGATATTCACACTACTCCAGCCAAATGAGTGTTGGTGCCCCTGCACAGGACATGAAAAGGCCGTGGATGTATCAAGAGAAAGGCAGTGTGAGCCAGAGTGATGCCTCTGAAGAAGCAATGACAGAGCACTGACAGGAGGGGTGTTTCTGTTGGGTGTTTAGATCAAATATCACCAATCTTTCTCCAGAATTACTGACGCCATCTTTATGTTAAAACAAAAAGAAAGTTAAAAATTAAATTAACAAAACCTTGTACACAGTTTCTTCCACGTTAGTAACCAAACAGAAGCCTTCTGCTGTATGTTTATAAAATCAAAGTTGAGTTTTTCGGTCAGCAGCTCTGGTAAGAGTCCTTAGGGAGAGTTCGAGGAGCCAGCAGGTCACTGTCCTAGGAAGGAAGCCATGGGATCATCTGGCCGACAGCGTTTCATGCGGAAGGCCTCCATCTCCTCCTCAGTGGGCGCCTTTACTTCCTGCAAGCTGTTGTACGGCCTCTTCCTCTCATCTATCTGCATTATTGCCTCGAAATGCTTGGCCCGCTTGTCCTCTGCTTCCAGTGCCTGTGAACACGAAGCAGGTTAGAGGTCAGTCACAGAGAAATCAGCCACGCCAGAGATACAGATGAACATAGAACCACTTTCTGCCATCTAAAGCACAAAAATAACTTTACCTTCTTCAGCTTCTCCTTCTTCTTCTCTTCATCTTCTGAATCGCTGTCAGAGCCGTGCTTCTTGTTCTTCTTGCTCTTCTTTTTCTTCTTCTTCTCTTTCATCTTCTCTCGATGCATCTGGGGATTAAAAACAGTGGCACGATTACCATACAATGTATGGGTGGAGGAATTTTCTTTTTTAAAAAAATCGGCAATTAAATGCATCACAATGTGACCAGATGGTCGTAGTTGATAGAAATGCAGCATAGTGACAACAATGACAGAAAGACTGGTTGTCACTGTGATAAGGAAATCCAGTGTAGTTCATACACTGCAGAACAGCTGCCGAAAGCGTCCGCAAATTGGGGAGACAATGAGGCCCAGGAGCTCCTGACCCTCCGAGCAGAAGATGAGATCGGCCAACCCACAAACAACAGGGACAGTAAATGATTGCTATTGCCATGTTAAAGCCATTGTTACTGTTTATAAGGCACTGTCACTCATGCTAGAGGCCGAAGCTGTTGTGTTACATGTCATGCTAGTCATGCCTCTTTTGCCTGTGGTGTCAGCACGTGGTCTAAAATCACACACTGGGATGGCGTGATGCTGCTGTCATTTGGTTCTGTGTAAAAACGCAAAGGCTTAAAGAGTGGGACTTAAAAGTGGCCCTATGGCACGGCCCCTGTGTAAAAAAGTTTATGCCGTAAACGTAGCAAGTTGTCACACAGTGAAAAAACAAAATCACACACACATTTTTTTTGCATCAATGTGCATTGAAAATTGTTTTATAATCACATCATAGCCCTCTGAAACAGAATCGAATCATGAGGTGCCTTGAGATTCCCACCCCCTATACAATCAGAACTACATTTACACCGCCAGCAAAAACACTAATATGATCATCAGCTTGAACTGTTAAAAATGTTCTTTTCAGTGTCACTTACTTCCAGCAGAGTCTTGGGCTCTTCTTCCTCCTGTGGCTCCTTCAGTCCCTCTTCGAATGGAACACAGTCTGAGTTGTTCTTCAGGTTATGAGGAAAACAAAAACAGAATGTAAGTCACAAAAGCTAAAAAAACCCCTCATGTACCATGTGTATCAAACAGAGCATCTGAACTCTTTTATACATTCACTTACAATTCCAATTCCAGTCTCTCCTGTGCAGTAACTCTGTTTGACCATGGAGTGACAGCACTTGTATCCCCAGAGGCCATCCTTCCAGTAAGAGCCCCAAATACACTAAAGACAGGAGAACTGTTTTAGAGCACAAAATGCCACAAAATACAGCAATGTGTTTTTCCGCAGCGTATTCAGCCGTCCTTACAGTGTGGTTGTTGATGAGCACATCCTCCTCGTACTTGGAGCGAGCCACGGCCTTCTCGAGCCCCTTCAGAACAGCACCGTGACGAGAGTACTCCACGTAGTCTTCTGTCTGAGCCAAGAGCAGCTCCCGTGGCGGTGCATCCAAGTGCTCTTCACCTCCATACTGATTGTCACACACAAAAGCACAAACATCATCAGTGAAGTATTCAGCCAGTTTGAATACTTATGCATCAATCTGGGGCTAAGAGACGCATAAACGCCTTAAAAAAAATTAAAAGATGTCAGCTGTGTACCTTGTGTAGAATGCTGTCCCTCTGTTTCTCTTTAAAGTCCTCCTTCTTGACCTTGAAGGACCGGTGCAGCAGCTCCAGCTTAGTGGGGTCGGCCTGCAGATGCACCTCAGAGCCCCTCTCGTAGGCCTCCCAGGCAAACACTGTCACAAGATGAAGCATTGACTATTATTCACATGGTACAGCACAAATACCTGCTACATACGTGTTTGAGAGGGGATGTCATTCGTGTGGTCTGTCCAGAGAATTTATCAGATTTAACCATGACAAAACTGATCAATCCTGCTTTTCGTGTCTCATCTCATATTTATCATGATATATCAGAACAGTTTCCGTAACATTTACCATCTTGATTATTTTGCATTTTGCTTGGTTTATCTTTAAAGTCATTACAGGATTTAACTTTTCAACATAAAAGTAGTAACCATCGGTTGGGGCAGGCTTTACCTTCTCAGAGTAGCCTTCAATCCAAATATCGCCGATGTTACAGTCTCAGGTAATGCTGGGTTTATTTATTGTTTGCATCTGCTTTTCATATCTGTACATTATTCCCTTTCTTGATCTTGCTCAAATCAGGTTTTGTGGCCATGTGACTAACGCACACAACAACTGTAACCACTTGACTTGTGACAGCACATGCACATTTGCAGCTGTGATGTGAAACGCCACATTGGTTGAGAAAAAAAATTAACTGCAGCATAGAGGCTGTGATGCTACCAACAGTGCTTTTACAACACTGAAGTATCAGTAATCCCAGCAGAGACTGTAACTCTCTTATCACTGCAGTAGTGAAAAATACTTGGTGGGGTTGCAACAGTTTGTGTATTCGTACCAAACTGTCACGGTATGATGGTCACAGTCCAGAATATACGACATGTAGATTAACGTACGTAATGTGGAACCAAAGTTCACAAGCACAAGTTCTGCCTGCAAACTTTTAGCCATACGCCGTTATTAACAGATGCTAAGCTTAGCACAACAAGCTGATTAGCGTGGGACTCGGTCGCACTATGGCGAGCGTAAAAGAAACATTGAAGTCTGTTGCTACAACAGCAACAGAGAGAGAGTTTTGTAACGTTATAAGACGAGGACGGTGTGTATGTGTTTCTTCATGACTCTGGAGCATGAGAATGGAAACACATCCAACATGCTAACACACATTTGACGGCATCACCCAGCTGTGCCTATCACCAGGATGGTAAATGTTTGGGTTACTGAAAATCTAACTGAAACACTCCTCCTAATGAACAAGTTTTATTCTTCATCATTCTATTTGTTTTAGTATTTAAGTTTCACGGCATAACAGATGTGTTTCATTTGTTTTTTTTTCCAAAATGTTTGCACAGTTTAATAAAGAAATGTTTCTTATTTTTATATGAGAATAGTTTAGCAAAGTTGCCAGTGGGCAAAATGCGATCTCAGTCCCCAGCTAGAGGATTTTGTCTCTTTGAAACTTTGACCACCGTCTATATTATTTTAAAAAACAAACATATCTGTATGCATTTGTCTTTATCCCCGCTGCACTGAATTCGCACCAAACCATCACTCCTAAAATGGGGCATAAACCGAACTGTGACTTTTGTCTAATGTTACACCCCAGTGGTTAGAGAAACAAAAAAAAAAACCTATAACTCTGATTTTGCAGTATCAGGGATGAAAAATACCCTGTTGGCTTACACTGTGTTTGAGCCATGGTGATTGTGTCCCCACTGTAGCGAGCAAAGTTGTCTCCAGCATAGCCCACCCTGTCAGACAAAACAGTGTAAGAATTATTTCAGTGTCAGCAATGGTACTTTCTGAGGCATTGGGAAAATAGTAGCAACAACTTACTCGTCTGGGTTCATGCCAGTGTTGGAATATGGATTCTCTCTCATAGCTCGAGTCTTTGGATCATAATATGCTGAATTCGGATCCAAATTCCTCAAGTACTGTGAGAAACAGACGAGAAGTCCCGATTATTGGGTGTCTGTGAGTTAGTAAGAGAGCCTCACCTCTCTCTTAAATCAAAGGCTTGAACAGTGGACATTACATCTAAGACTAAAATAGTTGAGCATGTGCAACAGGCCTGTGTTTCCAGATGCGCCTCTTACTTTGGCCGTGTCTTCTCTGATACGCAGATTCCTAACAGTGATTCGTCTCTTGGAGTCAAAGTTCTGACCAGGCATGTCGATGTCATCTGCATATTTATCTTCATCCTCATCCTCACTGTCATGTTCCCGCTCCTGAAGAGAAATGATTCAAAGAGTTAAATGTTAGTCTTCTAAACAAGAGACTTCCTGTTATCTCTTAAATGATACAGCAGTGCAATCCATTGTTATTGTGATATCGACACTTACAGCTTGGTCAAGTTTTCCAGAGGCCAACTCATCCTGAAGCTTCTGTGCCTTCAGTGTCCTCTTGGCCTGAGAGTCAGAAACAAAAAGTCAGATTCATGAGGTAAACAAGAAGTAGACAACACAGTTATAATGACACCAAAGTTTGTTTTTCTTTTCCTCAATAAAGTAAACAATCTTAACACTCTTCTGGTCTGCTTACCAGATCTACTTTGGCGTACTCTTCCACAATGCGCTGATGTTCCTCAGGGTCATACCCGTTCCAGCGATCTCGCTTCCCATCATAGTCTAAGTCAAGCGTTATCTGATTGTGTTCATCTGGAGCTATGCCGGTGCCTGTGAATTTTGCACCAACCTTTCTGGGTCGCTGATGACAGAAAGGTGAAGGTCAGAGGTTAAGATTATTTGTAACAAATATAATATTCTCTTAATGCATTAGAAAAGAGTTAAAGTCCATCTCTACTGGAAGATGAAAGATGGCTTTATCGATTTTACCTCCAAGCAGTCTTTCTTCTTGTGTGTCATGGCACCACAGTTTTCACAAGCTCCCTTACGATATTTTGTGACAACTGAAGTCTGTTTGGAGAAGAAAAAAAAGAGCTTTCAACATTTAAGTTAATTTGTAATGGCTGTATGAAGATAGCTCATTGACGTCCCCCTCACCTCTTGCACTCCTCTCTTGTACCACTCTCCAATGGCTGAAAATTGTGGCTCTTTCTCACTCTGTGGTCTCTGATGCTTTAATGTGGGTCTTTTGGATGGGTCGATGTACCATGGCACTGATGAAATGTACTGTGGGATGTGAGGGTTAATGTCTCTGGAAAAGAAAGGAAGCAGCACATGTTGATCACGTTAATATTACAACAGAAGCCTGATTGTAAATATGACGATAAAAAGGGGCACGTTTGGCTTTGGAGGAACTCTGTCATGTCAGAGAAAATAACATAGAGAACTATCTATCTCACCTTCAGCTTGGAGACTACAAACCTATAACAGACAGCCTGTGTTACAAACTGCAGACATGAAATTTTAAAGACAATTTGCCTCATTCATGCCTGAAGAGACAAAAAGCTGGTGCCAGTTTGTCAGTTTTAATGCTGTGTGTTGGTTGCAGTTTGATAATACTCAAATTGTGGTGTAACAGAGTTGGTTATCTAATCTAAAACATGTTGCTTGTGTTGTGTCTTTTTATTTGGATTGGAAGGTAACCTGCTGATTTAGAACTGCTTTGTTTAGTTAATGTTTTGAAGACTTTTGTGTGCCTATATTTATTTATTCATCTTTATTAAAAAAAAAATCTTAACTTTTGTATATACATATATTCCCATTTGTCTTGCTCCTTTTTAACTCCCCTCATCCTCCAGGAATAATCAGGAACATAATAATGTCAGATGGGAAGGGTGGTAATGAGGAGAAAGATTCCCATGTTTACATCTTGTGGGCGATCACTAGGGGTGTAATGGTACACCGATATGGATCGGCATATAGATTCAGTGATCAACAATGCATTATCATCGATACAAAGTGAAAACATTAATACATGTCGTCATCTTTAAGATGAACCTTTATTCTGACTTTTCCATATCATGTCTGTGTCACCATTTCAGTCCAAACACACCTTCTTACTAAACACTCAAACAGAGCTAGCAGCTCAGTGCCAGGCAGATAATGGTAAGCAGCCAGGAGAAAGACAATGAGGATATTTGTTGATATTGTCTCATATCAATCTCAGGCCGCTAAATTGAATCATTATATCGTGGCAGACTTTGCGATATCAGTAAATATTGTATTGTTGCCCAGGAATCAATGTAATATAGTATTGTAATGAAACTTGTGATTTACACCCCCAATGTGCACCAACTCAAGATGGCTGTATGATGGCAGAGTTGGCCTTGCAAGGGTCAAAAATATTCATTTGGATGTAATATCCTTGAATAATGGACTTTGGCTTGTGAGGCATCCATGTTTGTTTAGTTTTAAAGAACTTCTGTGTTATTAAAGGTGGAGTCTGCAATTCTAATCCAACACACCTTTTACCAAATTCAGCGAAAATCTCACCATAAACTAGCTGTACGTTTTGTGAGTACACTTCAAAAAATTCCAGTGTTCATACACAGCCCTGGGTCTGTAAATATGAGGCCCAGACAAAGCCACGCAACACTATCATACTATGTTCGTGCACAGGACAGAGGACAGGCCATGGTTGTACAAAGACAAATGCAGTGGGAGCGAGATGGACGATAACACAGAGGTTCTGAAGGAGATCTGATGGGAGGGGTATATTCGTTTGGGCATTGAGTTCAAATACTACCCATTTTTCTGCAGAATCACTGAATCCATCTTTACGGGCAGAGTTGGACTTTTGGGCTTTGTTGTCATAATTTATCACTTGAATGATGAACACTATCAATATAAGTCAGATGCAGTGATTATGATAAATCCTATGTGAAATGAATGTGACATTTCCACGCAGGGAATGTCTAATGCTATCAACTGAAAATTAATATCCAGTGATTAAGGAGTTGCAACATATTAGGTAGCAGTGTTGTTAAAAATATGTATTTATTGATACATATAGATTCTGAATATTTGAAACCGTTTAAATTCTCCTTTTCCACAGTATTGATACACTGCTACCTGCAGCGCTTTCTTGCGCTCTCTTATTGTTAATGTTTACTGAAGTCATTCTGCTGTTTTCTGCTACTAACCAAGGCAAGAAAAGTTGTTGCTGTCATGTTATGGCCTTGTTATATTTATTTTTAAATAAAATAATTACAGTTTAAGCATGAAAATAGTATCTAATATCTGCACACTAATGGAACTGTAATACTAAATCATTGATTACACTTTTGAGAAATGGTATTAATTCACTTGTCACTTCTGGTTATACCCTTTAAATGTCCAGATACTAACAAGTTGTAGAGCTGGAGCTTTTTTGTCAGGCACTCTGATGTCTCTGTGCAAACATAAACTTACTTCCCCTCCTCGTCCACCTCAGCAGGAGCGTTTCCCAGCTTCCTCTGCTCTTCCAGCTCCTTCTTCTTCCGCCAATCCTCCCTGGTCATCTTCTTGGGCTCATCCAGGCCCACGATCCCCTCCGTGCTGGCCTTAGTCTGCTCGGCCATGGCTGTACCTGCCAACAGGAATACAATTTATTAAGCTTTCAGTGCAGCCGTGTGACACAGCCAAGTGTTGAGTGGAAACATATCTGTCCTGAATATACTCCTGTATAGTTCCCTCTGTCGTGCTAATGCTCACCCAGGAATGAGAGCTGACAATTAACGTTAACGTTATTAAAGTTAACACAGAAGCTAACGTCACTCTCACGTTAGCTAACCCAATGTTGACTGACTTGTACGTTTAAAAAGCATTTTTATCTCTTATAAACTGATTAAATAGGTAACTTGTTTACCTTATTAAGATCCAACAATACCAAAGCGGTTGATGTTTCCTTAGTTTTCTATCCAACTTGCTCCGTGTTTGAGTTTGTCCGTTATGTTTTGGACAGGTTTAGACTAACGCACGATAGTCGCCATTTTACATCAACTGCAGCGACGTCACGTCATTTCTTCTTCTATGGTGGTGAAATCATAAATGTGATGTCACTGCTCGAAAGAGCGGCATCTAGTGGCCACATCACGATGCACCACCTCACCAGCAGGACAAAGCGGTGTAAAAACAGCTTTGTTCCAGCAGCCAGTGAACAAGTCGTAGCCACACTGCATATATAGAAGCAACGTTCATTTATTTATCCATTTAACAATCTTTATTTTGTTTTACTTTAGTGGTTTGGTGATTGTAGGATCCTTGAGCGCTGTTATCATGTCTGTATTGTTTGTAAAATGTGTCAAGATGGATACATCATCTACTGCAAACTACCTAGTTACAAATAAATTAACCTGCACACTGTTATTTACATCATTGTGTAATGTTATCCATACTTTTTCTGTGTGGTACATGGCGGATATTATTTAACTTTTCCACAATGCCTCTGAAATGTAAATTATGCTCCATTTACACCAATAAAATGGGTGCAGAAGCACACATTGACCTGCCAACAGTGCAAAGTAGGCAACTAGAACTCAAGAAGCCACAAAAGCTCCAGGCCTCCTACGTTTCCTCTTGTTTGCACTAATGAATTGAAATTTTGTTTAGGAATATGCAACACAAAAGCACAGAACCAACTCATATAAAGGCCCCAAGTTGGGATCTTGTCTACCCGTCTCTTTTGTGATGTTTTTAATTTAACTTTCAGGCTTATGTGTTGCAAGTTCCTTTAACTTTGTAATATGTTTAATACAATTCCCCTACAATACATCTGGGGCCAAGTACTATCCTCTGCATCAAAAACTGACCACTAAACCACTTTGGCTTACTATAGCTATGAATGGTAGAGAAAATACTATTGACATGGAGCACCACTGCCTATCAAAATGGCTTAACAAAATATTTATTTCCTTCACTAACAGTCCCCCCAAATTTGTCAAACCTCTCTTTAAACTGTGTATGATTTTTAAGGTTTATAATAATAAATGATCTGCAGAAAATGGAGTGGAGTTAGACATCCAACTTCAAGAAACACTTATTAATTATCCATACTTACAAGGGAAAATTTAAAGCCTTCTGACATGATTAGTGGTTACAGGAAGCACAATGAGCACCAAAACAAATAAAATTAGAAGTAAAGTCTTGCGGTTTTAGGTTGGCTCACTATACCATTAAGGCTTTCCCCCACCTTGCCTGCCTCTGTCACCTTCAATAACACCACAAATGCATAAAAAATAACCTTAAAAATGTCTTTCTGCTTTATACTCCATGGCTCCTGACTGCTGAGTTTGCCTTCTTCTGCTGAGTTTGCCTTCTTTCAAACATGTGTACAATATGTCAGGCAGCAGCAGCTTACTTAAATACAGCCATGTGACACATCACCTTGATTATTTTAGACAAGATTTCACATGCCAGACGTGACCGTAAGGGAATGAAATACTACCAAGTGAATAAGTAGCTTGATTTTATTTTCTAACTTAGTGAATGGGACAGAGGTGATGGATGCAAAACAAATGTTAGTTATATCTGTGATGCATTTAGAGAATGTAGACCGTCATGACATTATTTTATTTCTCTGTGAAACAGTAAATCAGAAGAAGAACAGGCTGTTTTTGTAGTGAGAAGAATCATCTAAAGTTTTGATGACTCCAGTGGGTTTATTTTTGCATTCCTCAGAAGCACCAAGCAGGTATTGTTGTGCCTAACTGCAACACGGACCAGTGAGAACTCTATTTTGATCACTCTTGTAATAAGAAAGACAAGGTTAAGACAGTAACAACAACATAAGATGCCCTTACGATGACAGTTTGGTCAAGGTGAAACTTCTCACCCTTTTTCTTATATTCCAAACATTTAAAAAAAAAAAAGGCCAAAAAATGTAAACAATGTTGAGAGAACAAACAAAAGAACATGACAGCACCAGACACAAATAAACATATCGACAGAAGTATAAAGAGAAGGACTGAGTCAGTCCTCGAGCCTTAGCACCAGTACACATCCCCACCATCAGTCCAGCAGTCTGGGGACGAGAAGGCAACGCGGTACCAAAGTGAAGGCAGTGTCGCGTTCAAGTAGGTACCAAAATATCAAACTCTCTTAGTTCTTACTAACTGTTGTGTCCTCTGGATGTCTATTGAGAGTTTCTGCTGAGTAGTTACGAAGGAATAGGTGGACCGAGTCACTTGTCATCGTCCTCCACTCTCCCGCACTCCTCCAAGTCCTCCACCTCCCCGTCATCATCTTCATCTACATAATCACTATAAGTGTCATACACATCCCCTCCGTCTTCCTCCTCATCTTCTTCATCGCCTTCCTCCAGCAGATCCCCTCCATATAGCGGCTCCTCCTCCTCCTCTTCCACCATCTCCTCCTCATCTTCCACTATCTCCATCTCCTCCATGTCATCCTCGTCGTCCTCTGCCTCTTCATCATCGTCGTCGTCGTCTTCTACTTCTTCCATGTCTAGCCCACACACCTCCCCGTCCTCCACCTCCCCGTCCTCCCTCTCGTCCTTTGAGGAGGTAGGAGTGGAGAACCCTTTCCCCTCAGTCCTGTCTGTGTGGTAAGACCTGCTGGAGGGGATGAAGCTCGAGGTAGAAGTCTTTGTGTTGATGTAGAGACGAGGAGGTGGCCCCTGCCTGGCCAACACAGCCTCGCCAGCAGGGGGAGTGATGGGAGTAGAAGTGGCTCCTCTGGAGTCTTGGCCCAGTGAGAGAGTGACAGGCGCAGTCATGGCCCCAGGCCTCATGGAGGTCATGTTGGGCACATATTCACGAATCTCCCCTGGCTCCAGTGGGTCGGGCCCACAGGGGTCGTGTTCACTGCAGGACAGCTTGCCATCCAGCTTGGAGATGAACAGCATGCCTTCACGGTGCTCCTTACAGTAAGAGCTGGGGCACATCTCACAGAACGAGGCTGCCTCTTTACCACAGATGTCACACTGGTGCCACGGACACTCCCATCGCCCTGGAGACAAGATCACTATCATTAGTAACTTAAGAAAATACATCTTGTGATTTTTTTCTTAAGCTGAAGGTGCCAATAGTTACAATTTTTTGACCAAATTTAGGTTGACAAATATAATAAATCACTTAGTTTTGCATAACAGCTCTGTTTTTATAAAGCTCATAGAGTGAGACTGTTATCAAAGATAAATCTGGTCTGCCTGTCATCATTTAATCCAAAATATAATCACTAAAAATGTTTTTGTTCAGGCCACTTTTAGTCAATCAACCTAAAAATTACATCTTAACTTTCCATTACCATCACCAAAATCTGACACTTTTATACATGTTTGCAAGTATTAAAGGGACAGTTTACTCCAAAATCAAAAATACATCTTTTTCCTGCATTTTTTTTGTGTGCGTGAGTTGCAGAGTGTTGGAGATATCGGCTGTAGAGATGTCTGCCTTCTCTCAAATATAATGGAACTAGATGGCACTCATCTTGTGGTGCTCAAAGTGCCCAAAAAGTAAACTCAACAGCAATGTCTCTTTCCAGAAATCATGACCTGGTTACTCAAGATAATCCACAGACCTTGATATGAGCAGATTCATGTAGGAACTATTTTTTTTCTACTGAACTACACCTGTTAATCGTACCACCGCGCAAAAGCGTTAAATTACTCATTGACAAGAGGGTCATGCTCTTGACAGCACGAGAGAAACTTCAATGGTGTCTTCCTTGGCTGAGCTGTAACTTTCGCTAGCTCAGCCAAACTAAAATTCTTTTTATCCAAACTCTTCTAAATCTATTCAAATCTAATCTGAGTCTGGGGCGTCGGTGGCTTAGTGGTAGAGCAGGCGCCCCATGTACAAGGCTGTTGCCGCAGCGGCCCGGGTTCGAGTCCAGCCTGTGGCCCTTTGCTGCATGTCACTCCCTCTCTCTCTCCCCCCCTCACACTTAACTGTCCTGTCCATTAAAGGCAAAAAATATCTTAAAAAAAAAAAAAAAATCTAATCTGAGTCTGACTACACAAGAAATAAGACTATATCGTGTCTCTTTAGTATAATATGGGCTTTAAGGCTGCTTTCACACCTGCCCTGTTTGGTTCGATTCAATCGAAGTTCGTTTGCCCCCTAAGTGTGGTTCGTTTGGGCAGGTGTGAACACAGCAATCACACTCAGGTGCGCACCAAAACAACCGGACTGAGACCTTTTTGAATGGGTGGTCTCGGTCCGGTTACAAACAAACTGTGGTGTGGTTTGTTTGTGGTGAGAACGTGTTCCGACCTCAATCTGAACCAGCTGCAGTCACATGACACATTGTTTGGGTTAAACATGAGCATGTTACAGTCCTGGAGGATTATTAATGTGCACCTCCTCCTGTACTGCCTTAATATGCACATTCAGCACATCCAATGCATCAGAACATTGTTTTCTAGTTGGAGCCGCGCCTCGTTTTCAAACTGTATGGTTTGACTAAAATGAACAATGACAGCAATATAGTCCACGATGAGCAGCGCTAAAATCAACCTGCGTAGTTGTCCCTCCATTGTGACATTAGAAAGTGTCACATTTATCTTGCAAGGGTACTCTTCTTCAACATTTTGTTTACTTCCTGGATTTTTCCTGCTTGGAAATTCTGACCAATCAAGAGCAGCTTTCTCACACAAGGCATTTGATCTGGTCCGCTTGTAAATGCTTCCGTGAGAACACGATCCAACTCTAGGCAATTATGCAACTTTGTGACAAAATTAGTCCCTTATTCAGACCAAAGCAAGACAACTCTAGGTCTGAAAGCTCCCTAAGTCATCCTTATGTAAACAGTAACAGCCCTCCACCTGTACTTGCCTGCAGGCCTCTTGGCCAGGTTGAGACAGTCAGCATGATAGACCTTTGGGCAACCCGGCTTCTTACAGGACACTATCTGGCCCCCGTCACCACAGCTGAAGCACTCATCTTCCCTCTCCTTGGTCACTTCTTGCTTGGTCTTCTTCTTCATGGGGACCTTCCTCTTACCTTCCTTCAGTTTCAGTTTCTCAGCTGGTGGCTGGTTCTGGACAAGAAAAAGACAATTACTCCTCTGAAGGTGGCAGGAATGACCAGAGGATCATCTGAAAAGTGCAAACTAAAGCTCTTACCTTTGGCCGGACACCAAGGAAACCACTGCAGTTGGGTGCTCCACATTTACAGACAGTTTTTCCGTTGCCAAGACACTCCAGGTTGTAGTTGAAGTTCAGCTCCACACCTAAAGTACATGTATTAGATTTACACTGCGGTGTGTGTGTAGGTTGTAAATTAACAAAACAATCTGCATTCCTAATCCCAAACACAAAACATTAAAATTAAAAGTAGGCTGTTAATCAAACCTTTTGGGATGTCTTGTAGAGCAAACAGTCCCACCCTGGTGTCCCCGTTCACAGTCCACTTCTGAGTCTCACAGTTTGGCTGGCAACAGTGGTTCATGAAGCGAGCCTGGTTCCCTTTGGGCCCGGCATCAATGATCCGGTCCTGGAACAACCAAGTACAGACTGGTTTGCACCAAGTGTCTGATTTTCATTATGAATCAAGTGTGTTGCTAAACTGTAGCATATACAGAGAGTTGTGTTTGTGGTCATTAGGCTCAGAATCACCTTGTCCAGTGTGAGCATGTAGAAGTTACAGATGTCGTTCTCCTGGGCGTGTCTGATCCTGGCTCGGCATTCTTCCTCATCGATTACCTCCCCCACATATTCACTCACAAAGGCTCCCTGAGAAGCAGCAGACAAAGAACAAGAGAGTGTATCAATAACGAAGAGAGAGAAATGTGAGTGTGACAGTCACACACATGTATCATTATCTGATTTCTTCTAATATACCTTCTTAATGTCCGTCACACCAACTAAACCCCAGCCGCAGGACAGTGTCCGGACAATCTCCACAGGTGTGTACTGGCGCTTTGTGAAGGCCTGGTTCTGACATCGCTCCCCTGCTGCGCACACCTGAGGGTGGCACTCATACATCAGCATGCGATTAATACACTCAGAGTCGATGCCGCAGGGGTTCTCGTCAGACGCCTTACAGTTGCAACGTGGGATCTCTGACAGGTCGGCAGTGACGATCTGCACCTTCCCAATTGGCCGGTTCACCTGAGAAACAGACACAGGGATGTGATTTTTTTATTTTGCTGTATATCTCAGTGTACTGCTCTTTAGTCAGGGTAGAAAATTACAAATGAGTATGTGGAAGAGGTGGGACCAAGTTGTTGTTTTGCAAGTCACAAGCAAGTCCCAAGTCTCTGCGCTCAAGTCCTTAACTTTAAGTTTCAAGTCCTAAACAAGTCATATTGCGCCATTTTAATAACAAGAAATTTGTAATTATTTATTAAAACAAGAGCAAACGACCATTACCATTAAAAAAAAAGAAGTGCTGACATTACACTTTCACGTAACGTATATAGCACCGGTGTTTCAAAGTAACACGCTACATGTATGTAAACACATTACATTTGTCTGTAACGCAGTAATGCAACGTGTTACTGTTCTAAATCAAGTAATCACATTACAGTTACTAATCAAATAATTATGTTGTTACTTAAGTTGCATAAGTTCTTCTTTGCATGACAGGCGGATAAAGAAAAATCATCATATGTGCCGACAACAACGCCATCTAGTGTGCCCGTGGAGAGGCCCTTCAGCCTGGGAAGTCTTGTGCTGGCTCTGAGGAGGAAGAGGTTGTCTAAAAATGATTTGAAGGTCACTTCCTCGTGACATTTAACCACTGCTTTAGTGATAAACATGTCAAATAATCCCAACTAGGCCACTGTAAAGTCATGGCTAAAAGGCAGTTTGAGTAAGTTCGTTTGGCCCGTTAAATGTGTTCATATGCCATTCAGATTTTTTTTTCTAAGTCTGTCATCATCTAATGACATTAGGAAGGCTAGTGTCATATTTTTTATTTAGGCCTTTTGATATAATATTTTGAGGCAATTATTTCAATTTCAATTTTATTTATAAAGCCCAATATCACAAATCACAGTTTGCCTCACAGGGCTTTACAGCATATGACATCCCTCTGTCCTTATGACCCTCGCAGTGGATAAGGAAAAACTCCCCAAAAAAAACCCTTTAATGGGGAAAAAAAATGGTAGAAACCTCAGGAAGAGCAACTGAGGATGGATCCCTCTTCCAGGACAGACAGACGTGCAATAGATGTCGTACAGAACAGATCAGCATAATAAATTAACAGTAATCCGTATGACACAATGAGACAGAGAGAGAGCGCGCGCGCGCGAGAGAGAGAGTTGCAGGTAATGACAGTAGCTTACAACAACATTATTGAAAGTAATAATATTATAGTTATAGTTCTGGCTACTGTGGTACAATATGTTGAAAGTATGTATTAATATCTGGCAGTATACATGTGTGACAATAGTCATATGTGTATAATAACAGTAGAAGTATGACTAATGACTAATGATGGCAGCAGCAGCAGGAGGCATCTGGCAGGACCACGGCAGCAGCACAACCGCACACGTCACGCTGGCCATCGTTATTATTTGTACTATGCACTATTAGGAAGGCCAAACCTCCTGCTCCTCCTTGCTACAATTTAATTTTGAGGCAATTACAGCCTTCTGCAGTGCCGTCTTGATTCTTGTGATCATTATTTTGTGCTGATATATTGTTGCTAAATTACAATTACTTGACAATTTTTGTGTAACTATCCCAACACTGCAAAGCACTGTTAACCTGTTCCACAACAGACTAAATATTGCATGTTTCTGTCCTATATTTCTTTTAAGCTCAGTTCAGACCAAAGATGTGACGAGTTGAAACATGCGACTTCTTGCTTTGTACCGTTCTGTAACGTTCTAAAAACCTGACGGTTCACAGCAATGCAGCTAGATGAGGTGGTGTATCATCTCTATGCAACAGCTTTTCAGGTTTATTTTGTGGCCGAATATAATTTGTAGCTTCTTATAATATGAATTAGGATAGTGATCATGAGATACTGGCTGCAGTATCCAGTCCTGACAGCAAAAAACAGAAATAAAACAAGCATCAGAGGGACTGTACTCGTAATAAATACTCCACAATAATATAAGTAAGCGGCACCAATTAGTTAGTCAATGAGAATGTGGGTGTGAGGGGGCATAAGCACATACAGCAACCCACCGTCTGACACCAGCACACCGTGAGGCTCGGCTGGGACGTAGCACCTGCTGCAGCAAGCGAACACACCATCTGCCGTCATTTTGACTTAACCAGCAGACTTCACTACAAGCTGATTGGCTGTTGAAACAGGTGACGTGCTTTACATTCTAAAGCCAGCTGCAGGCGATTTGACTAGTTGAGTTGCAGGTGACACCATCAGCCTGAGTTGAGCTCAGATGGCCAGTTAACACCGCTACAACTTTTCTCTGCAACGTTTTAAAGCCGTTTCGGCTTGTTGTGATTTATTGGTCTGAACTGGGCTTGTTATGTTCTCCTGCAACTTGACTGGATGCTGTTGGATTGGTTCAAACAAGGTCAATCTGTCAATTTAAGTGTCGACTTGCTGGGAACCAACAGCTGATTCAGGAGATGAAGGGAAAATGAGGTGAAAAGACTGAAGTCTAAGTGAAGTCACCAATCACTGGTGTTAAAGTCCAAGCAGAGTTGCAAGTCTTTTTTTCATTCTGTTGATTTCAAAATGATCAAATTTGTGACTTGTTTTGACACCTGATAAGTGGTGACACACAGTACCTTAATGTGCCTGTATGGAGGAGGTTTCTTGTCATTCTTTCTGTCCTCCTGAAGCTGCTTCATCTCTTTTTCAGCCTGGAGCTCCCTGAATCGTTCTGCTGCTTCAGTCAGGGCTGTAAAGACCAAAAAAAAAAAAAAACACCTTTACTCAAACAATTAAAACATAAACATGACCAAAATAAGACTTTATTTTATTAATATCAAAAACAGGAACATAGATGTAATGTAAAATACAACAATGGACAAAAGAACATACCCTTTTTGTAAACTGCATCTGCACCCTTTCCCATCTTCTCTATGTTGTGAGTGTCACCCTCCATGTAGGGGAAGACTCTGGCTTGGTACGTCCACACAAAATCTTTGGAGCCAAAGAATTGCACCGGAAACTCTCCCACCTCATGCTTCATCCTCAAGATGTTATTTGGGACATCTTTGGCCAGACAGACTTCAGCAGGCCACCACCTAAAGAGTCAGATCAGGTTTCAGAAATCTGACCTCAGGCACATTTAGCTGCAGCTTGAAGCTACAGTGTGTATGAGGAAGGCAATGTTGTGACCTTACCTGTAGCGTCCCCATTTGACCCACAGTATGTCCTTGATACGAGGCCTCTTTCCAGCTTTGCAGTCGTTACAGAACCAGCTGCCCTGAGGCATCTCTATATTCAAACATTCCCGATGGAAAGCAGCAGGACAGGCCTCACAGCACAGCAGACTGCCCCCTACAAAATCACAGCCAAACACACTGATCAGGTTATATTTATTTTTTGGTTTATACCTCCTCATTCATTTATCTGTCTATGAAATATGAAAGAACAGGGACATATCAGGCAACTGTACACATTTGTGAGGCGTAACCAGTAAATAAATACCAGACAATTTATCTATTATCACACATAGAGATAAAGCAGTGAAATCATATTAACTCATTGCCCATTTTCAATCATCTGTGTTAGTGCTTACTGATGGCACTAAACTCAGAACATGTGGTAATGTAAAGACATATTCCTTTAGGGTTGCATTGCTTTTTAATACTTGGTTTCAGAGGCAGATCTAACAGATTAGACAGCATACAAATGAAAGGAAACGCAGCACTTTGCCAAGAGGGAGCGTTTAATTGGAAAATAGGATGGGGCATAAAAATTAATTTACAACACATTACACTCTCCCGAAGAGTCAAGCACAGTGCATTTCCAAGAGAAGCCACTTTCATGGTTTTTATTACCATTTGAAACATGGAGACAGTTCGGAAAATCAGATCCAAGTTATTTAACAGTTTCACATCTGAATCGCATATTATAATTTATTCATGATCACAGCAGTGAGGCTGTTTCAATGACAGGTTAAAATGAGCGTGAAACGAGGCCAGACTTACCCTCGGAGCAGACAAAGCACCAGCTAACGTTGATGTGTTCGTGGTTCTTGCAGCCTTTGCGGGGAGTGAAGTGGTTTGGACAGAGGAAGCTGTTGTTTGCCAGCACCAGGCTGCCTGCTGCCATACAGTTGTCATTGGCATGATAGGCTACAGGGCAGCGAACACATCGAGCCAACCGGCCTACGGTAAAAATATACAGAGGAGCAACGACAGCTTAATCCATGCACATCTGGACATTTAATTTAAGTTTTGTAACAATATCCTCATGACACACAGTGTTCATGGATAGATAGATAGATAGATAGATAGGTAGATAGATAGATAGATAGATAGAACAAAACTGGGTGGCTATCCTCACCAGTGCAAAAGAGCCAAACAAAAAAAAAACAACATGATTACAAACTAAGGTAAATAAAATAAACTATGAAAAGGAAGTAAAGAGCATATAAAACAAAACACTGCACATATGCCCACATGCTATATTGCACATTATGCTTATGGGTAATACTATCATACTGCACATAGACTATTATCACTTACAACAAGTGTTTTTGGAGTGAGGCCAAACTGCCAAAATCCTTGAGGGCAAACACTGTTTGTAGCATCAGGTGCTGTTTAAAGGATGTTATATGAGCAAAACATCTTACACAGCTGGCACTGTTTCTAATGACTCATGAGCGTGATGAAAGAATCATCACTTTCAGACACTATATTGGGTATAGCTCAAACAGCTTACTGCTCCAGAAATTGGGTCTTGATTAAAGAAAAAAACAAAAGTTTAATCTCCAAAACAAATCCTGGTATCTCGAGTTACGAAGCTGAAGCCCTATTATAATGAGTGACTCAATGCTTATCCAAACTAACAGGTGACCTGGAACTAGCTGAAGATTGTGTGCCGATATCAGAAAATGAAACTCGTACACTCTTCCACTGTTTCTGGCAGTGTACTTGATCACAACATTAGAAGGAGAAAGCAAATTTTTTTTAAAAATGGGCCAAAATCCTTAAGAACAAAGAGAGATGAAGGTAGTTGGCACTATTAACAAAAACTGTGACGTGCATACCTAAAAAAAATGAAGTCAGGACTAAAGTATAATTTGCCGAGTGTATTCAGGACCATAAAGCACAATTTTCTTTGTTACAAGAAACATGACAGTGACTTAACCCCCGTGGTGCCCAGTTCTTAGTATAACTAGAATTAGAACGCTTCACACACAACTCTAACATGGCAGCACAGATTATCTATACACTCAGCACAGTTTGAAAGTAAGCACTCAGTATCAGTCACTAATTCTGTATCCGCCCAAATGTCTTCCCCCTCTGTTCCCAAATTATGATGCTGAATAATGGCCAGAAAAGTGTTTTTGCAGAACATTATCATGTCACAGTGAAGCTGACCTTTGACCTTATGGATATAAAATATCATCACTTCATCTTTTTTTGACCATTTTAGCCATTTGTGTGAAATTTTGTCATAATTAGCGTATGAATTCTTGAGTTATGGCCAAAAATGTGTTTAGTGAGGTAACAGTGACCTTGAACTTTGACCACCAAATCTAATCAGTTGATCGCTGAGTCCAAGTGGACATTTGTGCCAGATGAAATGCATTTCCTAAAGGTGTTCCTGAGATGATGAAGATGAAGATATAGCTTTATTGATCCTCACTTTCTTGTTATTTTTACTTATTACACACACAGGCCAGGAATACACACACGTACACACACAGGATCGATACAAATGCATTAATGGAGAGATGTCAGAACGAGGGGGATATCCATGAACAGGCGGCCCAAGAAGCTGGGGGCTGCTCAAAGGCACCTCGGCAGTGCCAGGAGGAGAACTGGCACCTCTCCACCTAGCAGCCCCCCCCCCCCCCAAAACAACTGGCGGCGACAGCCAGGATATATAGGACACTATGAATCTTAGTGGACCATGTCTACTATGTCATAGTTATCACATCATGTGTTTTAGATCCCCTGGGAAAAACTGGAGCTTACCTTTAGAGCTACAGATGTTGAGAGGGTTGGTGATGTGGCAGGACAGACACACATGCAGGGGGCAGCGGAAGCCTTTGTTATGCGGCTGGGTAGCCGAGTACGCCAAGATACAGTCGGTATGGTAAAACTTCCCACACAACGGTATTATGCAGCGCTTTACCCCATTGTCAGACTTCTTACACACAAAGCATGTGTGGACACCTGAAAGCAACAAACAGTAATAATAACAATTAGGCATATTTTTTATAATGAATGACAGATTCAGCCCGGCGTCAGACACAACGTGTACCCACCAGCTTTGCATTCTTGACAGAGGAATTTCCCCTTAGGAGGTACTGACAGGCCAATACACTGCAGGTGAAAGGCTCCATAACAGTGGCCGTCACACACCAGCAGGTCTCCCGTCCTCTCACACACCTGCAAAAACATGCACAATAAGAAAGATGCTAATTATCCTGTTGAACCTATAAGGCCCAGTTCAGACCAAAGATTCATGACAAGACTGGCTGAAACTTCCAACTATTTGCAATGTGCCGGTCGGCAATGTTCTGAAAACCTGCCAGTTTACACCATTGCGACTAGACGAGAGTCTGTATTGTCTCCACAGCAACAACTCTCCGTACGTCCGTTACGATTTCCAGCTTTTCTGCCTTATTTTGTTGATGAATATAATTTGTAGCTTCTTAAAATATGAATGAGTGATAGTGAGATACTGGTTGTGGTTGCATTTATAGTAGTGATTAAAATGGTAAAAAACAAACAAAACAATCTGAGTGTGTGTGTGGCATGTGCACATACAGCAAGCAGCAGCAGTGACCCACTGTCAGAAAAGAGGCCAGCATATGTGTCAGCATCCACAAGGATGTAAATGGGACAGACTTTGGCTTGGAGGGGACGGAGGGCTGTTATCAAAGGATGACATAGTAAGCAAATGCACTGTCTGCTGAACTGGCCAGCTGACTTTGCTACAAGCTGATTGGCTGCTGAAACAGGTGATGTGCCTCACGTTCTAAAACCAGCCGCTGGCAACTTGACAAGCTGAGCCGCAGGCCACACTGTCAGCCGGCTTGAGTGGAGCTGAGACGGGCCAGTTCACAATGCTGAAACTTTTCTCTGCAACATTCTAAAATGGTTTCATCTCGTCATGAATATTTGGTCTGAACTGGGCTCTACAAATAAATGATGTGTCAGGAGCCAAAAAAACGTTCTGGTTATGATCTCACCTGACAGACATTCTCCTTTAAGGATGCAGCTCCAATTTTCCCTTTAACATCTGCTTGAGAAGAGAGGCTGTCATTCAAACTATCAGACAGCACCTACAGAGATGAGGAAAGAGATAGTGTTACACTCATGGATGCAGATTATTTTCCTCTTTAATGGGACAGCTGAACATTACAACACGCAGACCTCAGGTTTGGCAGTTAGTGTTCCAGTGTGTACATTTTGTTTCTCCTCAGTGCTGCAGGCGTCTGCCTCGACCTCCTGCTTGGGGGTCTTGGATCCTCGAGGGCTGGGAGGCCTTTCTGGAGTGAGGACCATGGAGAGATCTTTGCTTTCTGAGTGCTGGGGGGCAGCATGGGCAGAGGATGTGCTGGGTACAGGCTTCTCTTTCTTAACAGATCCAACCTATCCAGTGGAAGATATCATTGTGTTAGGCATACTTAAATCTATTTGTTAGCATCATATAGTTAAGTTGTATATGAGTGATGATATGATTGCTTTAACTTGGTGCTTTTGTAATACCTGAGTTTTCTTAACTTTCCCCTCTGAGGTAACTCCGCTGTGTCGCTTTGGCTCCTATAAACAGATTGTGAAATACATTTATCATTTCCTCATCCAAAACCCAAACTTCCCCACCGCCATCTGAATTCCAACATACCTTCTTCTTTGTATGAGCAACAGACACTTCTTCTATGGTACATTCCAGCACCCTGTGCAACAGCTTCCTTGGCCTCTTTCTTTCTTGGACCAATAACCCCACATCTAAAGTGAAAATAACCCAACAATAACATCTCTGGGACAAAAATTACCTTCTATCACAGAGACAGATATTTGATACTGGATTAAAGATCTAGTGTGTAGGATTTGGTGGCATCTAGCAGTGAGAGTACAGACTGCAACCAACTGAAATGTCTCATGTGTGCAAAGTGTGTACAGTGGCCGACTCAAAAACGTGAATGGCCCTATCTAGAGCTAGTGATTGGTTTGTCTGTTCTGGGCTACTGCAGAAAAAAAAGACAAAAATGTAAAGGTAAGGTAAAGAAAACACCACTATTCTTCAGGTGATTATAAACTAATAAAAACACAGTTGTGAATATTATATTCCATTCCTGCCAATATATCCCGCTAAATCTTACACTTATTTACCAGATTCAGGAGGTAGATCGGTTTCTTCTGCCGTCTCTGCATCAAGGGAGGGTTGTGTTGCGGCTGGAGATACCGAGGATGCTACAGGAGAAAGTTCATCCTGAGATGGACTCTGTTCCGGCTCTGCTGGAGCCTGGGCGGACTCAACAGGAGACGAGGCTGAGGTAATTATTCCTGATGTGGTGCTGACATCACAGAGTGCTGTCATCCCTGACGTCTGCTGAGTACACACATGCAACCAAATCATCAAGTTCCAATGATAATTTACATTTTCCAGAGATGAAAATTTGTTTTTGCATTGTTATCTTGATAACTTAGCAAGAAGACCACAAATGATGGAATGATACCCGTTTGTACAGACATAATAGGATATGATAGAAATATTTCAGAGCAATTTACTTCACATGTGACTGATTTTATTTAGTCTTGTGAAAGTACAAAGATTAGTTTTATGTTCATAGAAAGATACCGCCCAACTCTCAGACCTTTACAGTCATGCAGTAAAATGAAAGGCAGACCTCATCACTTGGGACCCTAAACACCCCTACTCCTTTCAGCTACTCCCATAGGGCAGCTGCTACAAGCACCTCTGGCCAGAAAGAGATCTTACAAAAACTCTTTAATCCATTTTAACAAGGCCAAATAGACTTAAGAGATTTTTAATGCAGCTTTGCACACCTGCTCTTACTTATGAAACGGTTTGCTCGGATTCCCACTCCACATCAAAATCAAGGAATTGTCAAGGGCTTTCCAGGCCCAATTCCCTCAAATTCAAGGATTCAGCATGGCATAGTTTGAGACATTCATCAAGGTTAATTTCTGTTACAACCCTGAGAATTTTTATAATGAGAGTGTACCAGGTTTTAGAGAAACTCACAGACAACAGCTAAAAAAAAGACAGAGATGCTTGAATGTGTGAACACTTCTAAGTTGTACTGCATAGGAGGTGACAGGTGGAGCGTGAAACAGTGAAGCAACCGCAGGAGACACGCAGATAGACGTAGCATATTTACATACATTATGTTTAAAAAATCTCACAAGAACCTCAATTTCTATTTTTGTACAAAATGTAAATATTCAAGTACTCTTAAAGTCTCATGTCTATTTTCAAAAAACTTCAAGGCCTTGATTCTTTTTTTTTTTTTAACATGCAGAAATTATGTTCATGGATAAGTTCACGCATTAAAGTTTTACTCATATTGCCTTAGTCACGTTTATTCACCTTATATCACTACATTCTAATAAAACAGCAGCAAGTAATGTTAGCTAACGTAACATTAACTTGCTAACCTACCACTAGCATAAGTTGAGTCAATTATCCATGTAATAATAAAGGATTTTTAACACAGTCAGAGTGCCTTGGATGCATTTTTAGAGTGCCTGCTTGTACTATGGACTTTTACACTGAGTGAACTGGCCAGTTGTTGTTTTTCATCTTGAAGAGCACCTGATTTTCCCCTCTCAATTTCACAAACTTTCAAGGATTTCAGGGACTGGTGGGAATCCTGTGTTTTTTTGTTTTGTTTTGTTTTAAATGTGCAGAAATCGTGTTCATGGACAAGCTCACGCATTGAAGTTTTATTCATGTTACCTTAGTCACGTTCATTCACATTATATCAACATGCTAATGAAATAGCAGCAAGTAATGTTAGCTAACGTAACATTAACTTGCTAACTTTGTCAGCTACCCTACCCATACAGCTACTGTAGCCAACATTATGTGGTAAATTAATTTGTTCTGTGGCCCCATGCTGGTAACCATGGTCAAAACAAACTAAAAATAAGTGTATGAGTGTTTTGAGTGTTTATGTAAGCTTATAATGTAACCCTTCGCATTAGCTTGGCCGTTGGCAAGAGCCACTTGTCTGGTGTTTTTTGTTTCCATGGAATTTAGAGCAATTAAGAGAGTTTAGGGGGGGACATGACGCCAGTGACAGGCTACAAAATGAAATGCATTGTTACCTTGAATAAAATAATAGATTTCTCTGTGTTTGAGCGCTGTTGGAAACATTCGGGATAGTGTAACTACACAACAACAAAATATACAACATAGGTCAAGTCATTTTTAGACATTTGGATGTGGAAATGTTGCACCTTTAATGTAATTTTAGATAGGTGTATGTTTTTATGTTGTTTGTGAGACCGTAACCTAAGACAATTTTCTAGCATTATGTGATCGAAATAAAGTTTTTGAATCTCATATGTCAAAAAGCATGTTCAGATACTGAATCTTTTTCTTGAACACACAATATTCAAGAACCAAGTGAATAAAAATAAAAAGCTGTTTATAACTGCATCAAGTGCTACTTTGAACTTTCAAAGACAGAGGGACATCTCACCATTTTGGAAGATTCTGAGGTGTGTTTCTTTGATTTCTTTTTTGGGGCAAATATTTGTTCATACTCCTCAGTTGACTCCAGGAGCCTTTTAGTCGGTTTCCGGAGACGTTTGTTTTCTGATTGCCCTGTGTAAACACACATAAAATACATTTACACATATATACAAGTATATCGCTCTTTTACCAATTTTACCATCTTAGAGAGCACACTGAACAGCAGCAGTTTGGTTCTTACCGGCTGTGCTGGTCGTCCCTGAGAAGTGCGAGTCATTCTCTGCTTGCTTCTCAAGTCCCAGATCAAGATCTGGAAATACTTTCATGGTGTAAGACCCATTCATCTCAGCAGACGCCTCAACTTCAACCTTGTTCTCAGCAGCCCCTTCGACCATCTTCCAGCGCTTCTTTGGAGCCACTGTGGATCCTGAGTTCTTGTCAAGGTAGCTGGTGGAGGGATCAGCAGCGACGGGAGGGGAAGACCCAGGATCAGCTAAGTCAGCGTGGCCACTAACAAACTCCCTGCCGTAAGCCAAATCAGCCAGGTCCGAAGACAGGCCAGGTATGCTGAGTTTCAGTTTGGCAGGTAGTTTTTGTTTTCTACGCTGCTTGTCTGAGTTTCCCATCTGAGCATGACCAGGAAAATCTTCACAGTGGTAGGTGTCAGCTCTCATGATAGCCTTAGTCCTGTTCTTGTTTTTCACCACTGTGTTTTTGGGTACTGAGTGATCGTTCTCTGTTTTGATCCCTTGAGAAAAACCATCACAATAACCCTTCAGCAGGTCTCCTCCTGTAGAAGTAGGTATGACCAGAGGTTCCTCCTTGATCAGGACTGGAGATGGCGGGAGAGTCAAAGGTTTACCCTCTTGTTCTCTGGTATCATGCATGTCTTTCAGGAGCATCAAGAAGGTACTGAATTTATAATTGGAATCAGGTCGAAATGCAGCCAACTCAGAGTCACTGCTGTCCTCCTTCAGAAGAGATTTAAACATTAGTTCCTTGACATCCTGGAAAGCATCCATTGGAGACAGAGATGAGGATGGGGAAGTTGAAAATGATAGATCTGGGTTTTCTGTCTTGACCTTAACCGGTTGCACAGAGGGTGCACTTGAGTCCACACACTTAGATTTCATCAATGAGCCATTACGAATGTATTTCTTATCAGGCTTCCTTGCACGCCGTTTCAGAGAGCTGTGATTTGTAGAGGATGATGCATTGCTGAGTGATTCCCAGTTAGGAGACCTTTCAGTTTTGATGGGTGCATCAGTAGGTGTATTATCAGGACATTCATCAGCGTGGGCATGTGAGATTTGGCTTGTGGCCAGTGCATCTTTGAGATCAGTCTCCTCCTCTGCCTTCAGAGCCCTCGTCATCAGACGACTGCTGGCAGGAAGACTCATAGAGTGCTTTTCATTTGAACTGTGTGACATTTCATTGCAGCTGCCCAAACTCTGTTCAGATTTTATATCTTTAGATGTCAATATATTTGTTAAATCATAAGAGGAATCACAAGGATCTGTAGAATGGTTCACGTTTTCAGTAAACTTGGTTTTAGCTTTTGTTAAACCCTGTTCTCTTCTGACAAACCTGTCTGTATCCTGTACTGGAGACAATGCTGTGCGTTTAGGACGATGCAGCATTGGAACAGAATCCAGGTCTGCATAAGGTGAGTCCTTTGGCTCATCTTTCAGTGCACGAGTTGTTGTATGAAACTGATCTGCCATGTTTGTGATGGTAGACAATTCCTTTGATCCACCAACTATATGGTCAAATATGTCAGACAAACATTTCTTTTTCTTCTTACAAGCTTTGCTCTTATTGGATTGAACTGCAGCAGAGTTTTTGATGATATCGTGCTCATTTCCGTTGGGGGCCATATTGGGTGACAGGGGATGACCAGGATCCACAGAGACAGAGGGGGCCTCCTGTGGCTTTTCAGTGGGGAGTGGGCTGGGCACACGCTCCTCTCCATTGACAGATATTGAAAGCACGCTTTCAGTATTCCTTTGTTGAACTGGGAGCAGAAGCTCAGCTTCTGTCACACTGACTTTCCATGCAGTCAGTAAGCTTTTGGGTATCTGCCAAGGACAGAAATAACTTTCAAAATAACGGTCACAATAACATCATATGATACGTCTCCTTTAATTTCATGAATTTACCGTATACTTGTAGTCTTTCTCCTTCTGCTTCCCTCTCCGTCTTAGCACTGGCAGGTCTTCAAACTGATGGCCCCCTTCAAAAGGAAGAATGGCACTCCCAGGGACCCAGGAACATTCTACAACCTCCCCAAAGGTCTTCAGGAAATACATCCGACAAGGACGAGGACTGGGAACTGAAACAAAATAAAAACAATGGTCAACTTTTACCTTGCGCACATACAGTATAAGTCCTATGTGTTAATGTGTTCACCTGTCAGGTAAAAGTCAAGTTGTGAGAAACAATTTGACAATGGAGTTCTAAAATCCATATTCAGAGCAAACCTCTTCTCTTTACTCTCCTTATGAGTGAAACCTTACCTTTCATCTTAGTGTAGATCCCCTGGGCTGGGTCACAGGTTATGTGGCAGGGCCACCAGGGCCGTCTGTTGAATTTCGCCCACACTAAGTCCCCTTTGATGTATTTCACTGCAGGAAGAGGCTTCTTCTTTGGGCTGTTGGACTAACCAGGACATTGAAGCTACTTTAATATCTAATACAGTAAACAGTAGTGTATGTCATATCCTTAGTACTGAATCAAAATTCATTCATACATTCTGAATGCACCACCTTTGCATCCCATTAAACTATTTACACTGCTAGGAACCTGTATTGTATCTTGTGCTACCACTGATATTCAACTGTTATCTGTTGTTTTGAGTACATATTTTAAAAATGTGTGCTCCTGACATATTAGGAGTGTAAGAGAATATCAATACACGTGAACATTACAATATTATATTTGAGACAATCCATCGATTTTCAAAAACACTATCGATTGTTAATTAATAATCAACTTGAAAAGATTTGCGGCGGTGGTTCATTTATGTTAAAATTCCTGACCACTAGACAACAGTGTTGTAATCTGTTTTATGCCATTTGACTCTTCCACTTCAACAAAACAACATATCACCAGCGTAAACACAAAGACCACAAGCCCATAAAACAGACGCACCGCTAACTCCTAAAATTGGACCTTTTAAAATCGCAATATACCCTGCATCACCTTGCTTACAGTACAGCAATATAGTGCAATATATTGATTCGTAACCCCTGTATCGTGATATGTATATCGTGATATCTTATCGCCTGATTCTTGCCAATACACAGCCCTACTACATATGGTGCAATTATTTTCAGAGCAAGCAATGAGACTATACTAAAGGATGGCATTGTTGTGGGTCTATAGCTGATAGCGGGAAGGTGGTCAGGATACAATAAAATAGTAATTATCACTTCAACACATGGGCACTCATTCTGCCTATCTTAGTGAATATACACAACCAAGATAAACATTGACACCAACGTGTAGCCTTGGTTGTACAGAGGTAAAGTTAAAGTAAGCATGTCAGGTGTTTCAGACTCACGTTAGAGTTGGTGCCAGCTGGTGAAATCAGTTCAGGTTCAACAGGAGAAGTAAGTTCACCATCACTGTCTGACTCCTCACCCAAGCTCCACCCATCTCTCATTGTGATTTCTGGCAGTGCACTGGGGCTTAGTGTAGGGTTGAGTTCGGATATAGTTTTGGACATCAGGTTAAAGACAGCAGGTTTATATGTTCTTTTATCCACCCCTGAGCTGCTCATAGTCTCACAAGCAGTCACAGTTCGGTCCTGGCTCAACTCTGGGGGGTGGTGAAAAGGCGCCATGTCCTCACTGCTACTGTCCTCCCCGTCCTCCTCCTTGATGCCACTGCTGTCAAACAGCGTGGACTCAAAATGCAGGCAGCCATTGGGGATGGGAGAGCAGCGCTCCATGCTGTCGGGACTGTGAGGAGAGAAGCCATTTCTGTTCATGTCCTGCAGAGTCTCAAAGGACTCCATCTCATCATTGCCTGGAGAAGGAGGCAGCTGGACTGATGGTGCCTCAAACTCATCATCATCGCTGATTGGGCTTGCACAGTGCAAGTGGTTCCTAGGATGGAGGTCCCTTTCTAGGTCAGGCCTGTTGACCACAGTGCTATAGTCCTGCAGTCTCTTCAGTGGGCTGTAGCAGTGAGACCGGTCTGGTTGATTGTACCCAAGTACAGCTGGCTGTTTGAGGCTGGAGGATGGCAGTTGCATGGCTGACGGTTGGTCTGGCCCACGTCTCACAATGCCACATTGGTTTCCATAGGAAGTGCTCACAAGACCATTGCGGGGCCTCAGCTCTGGCTGGCCTGAGCCAAACACTGAGCCTACCCTAACAGCCGGTCTGTATGACTGATTCATGTTGTCATGGCTATATCCTGTCAGATAAAGAAGAGGCAGGTTAAACGAGGGAAGTGTGCCATCTAAGTTTCTCACTCACAATAATCTGTGAGGGTTAATGAGTTGTGTACTGTAAATACAGTGAAACATGCTGTCAGGCACATATAAACACTGCGGAAATAAAGCGACATTTATATCGAGTAAACAGAAACCTCAAAAGCAGCATACTAGCCATGAACTGTGTGCGCACATACACACATACACACACTAATAAGCCGACATTGCATGGCCTCCATACTAAAGGCCGGTCGGACTGCACAAGACAAAACACAACCGCTGGCCCGCTCCTTCCACAAATTTCATTCACAAACTATCAGAAAATAGTACCGCTTTGTCTGCTGGTTGTGGGTCATGGCGATCGCTGACTAGTACAGTCAATGGAGGAGCGATGAGGCTGTAGCCTAGTAGAGGTGGTGACACTGAGCCATCAGTGAGTGGCTCACACAAACAAGCTACAGCCACACACCGACATAGGAAGCTACTATTAACTCACACACAAAAAAAGGGCTGATCGGCACTAAGTTCACAACACTACCAACACGTGGAAAAAGGCGAAAAACTTACCATTTGGAGGTCGGTCAGTGTGAAACCAACAGCGGATGTTTGATCATGTGGCACAAAGCGAGTATTTTTCTCGGTTTGTGAAGGCGAAATCTGCACAATCCCAGCTGCAGCAGCACTAGCAGTAGGCCAAGGCACAGCTCTCATTCTCTGCACTTCATCGCCTCATCAGCGGCGGCCCCCCTGAAAAAACACTGTCACCTTAAACACAGAATAACAAGTAAATCTCCATTACGCTGCAACAGCACGCAGCGGCGAAATTCAGTGTGCCATAACCGGTCCCCAAACAGCCACAGCAGCTTATTTACTACATGATTTTTGCCTGCTGTCGAAGTGCCCCCGGTTATGTTAAAACAAGCCCAGACTGACTGTGTTGGTGAGCAGCAACCAATCGGCACTGCTACCCAACCCCCCGTCTGCATAGGGCCGTGACACTCACCCTCCTAACACACACGCGCACACTTACAGGCACGCACGTACACAACACACGCACGTGCGCGCGTGCACATCCAGGTGAAGTTTCTAATAGCGATATAATAGCAGCTTTATGGCATAATAATCACAAATGAATGGACGGCCTGTTTATATGTGCGTCTGTGCCCATTGTCTCTGAGCTGAACTCTGCTGACAGGCCTGTGTGTGTGAGAGTGGCGCAGAGACACCGAGGATACAACATGATTGTGGTGCGCTAACAGGCACACGGCCTCTCCGGTCAAACCAAAACTCCGTGCGCCATATTGCCTTTCTACACTCAGTCCCTCTGACATGAGGAAACAGGCCGCTAGGCGCTCAGATAAAGGAGACTGTGGCTGTAAACACGCATAAAACAAGGGGTTGCTCTGATTAAAAACCTCTAGTGATCGCTTTCCAGGTTGCCCTCACATAACACTTACAAGGATTTGGTGCTCGCACTGTGGATCAAATTGATTCATATCCATAAACAAACTCAGAGCGCACAATAGGCTCGCTGCAGCGGGCCAGTCCTTGAAGATCAAACAAAGACGGACTTGACAGCACAGGATCTTACCTCTGTGTGCACGTTTTTAACTACCAGGGTGGGTTCAGATCATTGGGCGGTTCATTTCTTTAACATTTTGGGCGAACGATCCGGTGGAAACACTACTTAGATCCAAGGTGTAACTTATTCAGCCACCCTGATAGATCAGCTGTCTAGCGTTTACATGAAAACACATCCCTTTGTTACCCCTTTAAACCAATTCTGCCATCACACTGTGTGACATCACATCCAAAAAGTAACATCATGTATATCAGTGCGCCGTCATTTCATTCAAAGGGGGGGTAAATAAAGGTATTATTATAAGGTGGTCACTATTGTCTGGAGACACGGGCCCTCTTGTGTCCACAGGGGGAATTACAGGCTTTTCATTTGACAGGAAATACTGTATTTAAGTGGAAAAGACAATTTCTTTTATTTTGGTTTCACATACAGCACATTAGCATTTATTACATATACCACAAAGCATTTTTTTCTGTTTCATGAAGTTGTTTTTTTTCCCTTACTGAACAGCATAACATACATGTAAATCTGGAAGTGCTTATCAAGTGAGTCTGGGGGACTAAACAGGCTGTTACAATACATAATCAAAATTCACAAAGTGCTGAAATAACAAATACTGTGTTGAAAAAGGATATTATGCACTGAGATTAACCAGATTGAGCTAATTAAAAAAAATGTATCGCAGTGTTCCCGTTGTAGGTATGATGCAGGATAATATCACAAAATTAAAAACACATATTGAACTGGACGACACACAAAGGACAACTATACATCCACGTATTTATGCTTAGGAAAAGGCTGATTTGATTGGCTGTTTGTACTAAAATGCAGTTGTTTTTTTTATAAATGTAGAAAATGTCACAAGAACCTGGACATAGAAATGTCAAAGCAGAAACTCAGAGGAACAAAATGCTTGAGCATGAAAAAAAAGATTCATTCTCTAGTGAGGTTTGAACCACAAACTGATAAATACATGTTTTGCCTATACTATCTGGTGTGATTAGTTCATACGCATGCATCTCTGCCAAACTGGAGTAACATACTTCTTTCTAAGTCAGTCATTTATTATGAGAGGATGAAGACAATGTCAAACACTGTACAAACACTCAGTCAGAGCCATTCCTAAATGGCAAAAAGTTCCTTCCTTTTGAGAAAAATCAAGCATCTTCTTTTTCATGCACTCAAATGTTTTTGAAGCACTAGACAGAACTATTCGCTGGTTTCATCCACCTTGCCACCGGGCTCACACAGGGGTCTTTTCTCCATCATGGCGTATGGAAAAGGTGGAACATCACAGCTAGTGAAGTCCAGTTTCTTGGGACCACCGCAGTTGTTAAAGTCAAGTTTCTTGGCACTGTCGCAACCAAACTCCAGCTTCTTGAGCCGAGCTAGACTCTTGATGCTGCCGGGGGGCCTGCCGGGGCTGACCTTATATCCTGCTGCTTTGGTGGTGCCTAGGGGCCTCCCTGGGCTGGTTTTGAACCCAGCTGCTCGGGTTGTCCCGAGTGGACGTCCAGTACTTGTACGGTAACCAGCTGACTTTGTGGTCCCTGATGGCCTCCCTCTCCGCCCCGACTTCACTATGCCCTTCTTCTTCTTGGAGCCATCAGGCCCTGCAGCCTCACTGCCCCTGATTCTCACTGTCTGAGGCTGGAAGTCGTTCTGGGTGTCTTGCACTTGACATACCATGGCTTTGTGCATGCCCTGTGGCAAAGGGGCAAGGCCTGCAAGGGACAGCTGCAAACCAGGGGCTGTCGGAGAGGGGTAGAATTTGTTGGACTGTGTGCTACATAAATCAAAGTGGCTGGCTGGGTGACAGTCCTCTGCCAGCCCACTCATACAATAGTCACTGTTGCTGCTGGTCACTTGATGCATCATTTTCTGTTGGAGTGGAGAGAAATATAAACATTAGGTGGAAAACCTACACATGCACACGTGCACCCAGACTAACACAACCCACAGAAGCATTTTTAGTAGCTTACTTTTGGTGGAGCCAACAGGCCTTTTAGCGTTGCAACACATAACACAAGTGATGTCAAGACAAAGCCAGGTAAACTGCAGTTGGAGTTTGCAACAAAAAATATGCATGCACAAAAATAAATGTTGGTTTCCCTACGAAATGCTTAACTATTTTAAGAACGTAGAAATAAATAGTTCGTACCTTATTTGTTGGTGGATGTTAGATGGAAAGGGTTAATTTCGGATCGCATACATTTTCCTTCTCTGGCAGCAACAACATCTTTAAGAAGACGCTGCACAAACTGCGCCCTGGCGTCCGGCAGTGTTGTTTTGGAGCGGGACTGCGATTTCGGTTGCCTATTTCATGCTCATTTAATCCTTTAAGCAGAGGTTTAGATGAGAGTGGCAGCCATTTTCGCCTGGAAAAAAATTAATAAAACAGGATGCGCTGACCACGCATGCGCACAAAGGCTTCCAGGAAACGCAGCAGATCATCCGTGGGTCTGCCAAATTAAACAAAGGCGCATCTGAATAGCGCACACAATAAGATCCGAGCGCTATTAACATGGAACTCTAATTGCAACATAATTAAAATAATGAACTGACACTGATGATACCTCAGCAAATAAATAGATTGGCCAGAATTTCCAATTACAAACTGAACCATGTATCAATATCATTATTACTGGTCATTGACAGGAAATATGAGCATGCAGGTGCCACAGTGACAACAACAATGATGACAAAAGGTCATACTCCATTTTTTGTAGGTTTTATTAACATCCATAAGAACTTAAGTAAAGACACGGGGTTTCTGGAGCAACTGCAGTGCTAGGACAGATAGCAATATACATTTATCAGCGTTTCCCCCGATGGTCGTCTCCGATCTTTTGCAAAATTAAGTCCACAGGACTTAAGTTTCCCTGATGAGCTTGGTCAGCTTCTGAATCTTTGTTTTGGTGGACATGTCCACGTACTTGTCTCCGATACTGACGATCATGCCACCCAGGATTGAAGCGTCCGACTGGGAAGAGGAGACATCAGTTGAAAATACTTTTTTTAGTCACACCACCTGCAAGATGTTCATTTGTATGTTTCTGGGATCATGCATTAATACCATACCTTTGTTTCCAGCTTGATGCTTTCACCCTTCTGAAGAAAGCCCTTGAGAGCTACTTTCAGGTCAGCAAGATTAGCTTCATCCAAAGGCTAAAATGGATAAATATTGATTGGTTAATTGTGCAAAATATCTAAGGTAAACAAACACAGAAGGGATTGTTTGTATTGATTGTATTTGAGGTGGCCAGGTTAAGTGTAGGAGATGCAACAAGAACGTGCCGTAACATATATGCAGTGGAAACATCTTACAGTGAACGAGTCTGTCCGTGTCAAACTGATTGCTATAAGATAATGATTATAACAATTTAAAAGTTTTTCTCATGCAGATTATCATCTACTTGACATTTTTATATTTATTGCATAAGTATGAACTAATGAAACTAGCTGGAAGCAGACGGGTTACCACGAGGCAAAGTATCATGGTCAAAGTAAAAAAATAAAAATAAATCCCTGTTGTAATTTATGAAAAGACCGAACATGAAAACTGCCTCTGGATACGTGGACAATATTTCTTTAATCTGATTGAAATAATTCATATTAGAGATGCAGCTGAGCTCTTTACATGGACACTAAATTATCTGTCAAGATGTGCATGTACATGCCCTAAAGCATTTAATTAAAACATATATATAAGTGGTTCCACCTGCTGTGAAGCGTCTAATCTGCTGAAAATATAAGAGCAGGGGAAGTTTTTTTTTCAAACCTTATAGAGAGAATTCATTTCATTTAATACATAATGTGCAGGAGCAGAAGTGGTTCCCCGTTAATGTAGTTAAGTACTAAGTAATGTAGGTCTAACCAAGGTTACGTTCTATAGCTACAAATGACAGATGTTCCCTAAACACCTCACATGCACAATATTGGTAATGTTAGAATTTATTGATGTTCCCTAAATGTCTCATATGCACACTACAAAAGGGGATCATGTCCAGTGACTCCACACTGCAACATGCACCAATGTTATGTAAGGCTACTGTTTCAAAATCAAAGAATACATTTATAAATCAAAGCACCCATATATGAACATAGCACTAGCAGTGCATTAAATATTCTGAAAAATTTATTAAGAATTCTCTGTTAAAATGCGCAAAGGGAGGCACATGTGCAGTGCATGGACCAGTTACATTACCTTATGTTACCCCCAAAACTTGCAAACATGCGCAGAAGGAGTTTATTCTAACCAGAGAGAAACAATCAGATCAAGAGTTTACATCTGTATTAGGTGCTACTATTTTCCCATTGAATGGATTAACCTGATTGAAAATTTCTTACTATCAGGCCAGTGTCTTCCGACTGAGATGGTTATATAAGGCATTTTTCTGATTGGGCTATTATTCTGATTATTAGTGGAATATCTGGGTCCATGTTAATGCACCTAATGAAGCGGACTACTTAGTACTTGAAGTGAATTGTTTAAACAGCATTTGCATGGGAATGATTCTGTCCGCAGCCTTTTGCTTCACATAAGCAGTTTCCACTGCATAATGTATGTCCACCTATTTTATACCTGAGCAGTGGTGACGGAGCAGACGACCTCTCCACGTTGTGCACTCATCATCTTCCCGAAGGCAGTGATAACGTCACCAGTTAGAGGAAGACGACCATTGTCAGCCAAAACATCTTCAAAACAAAAAGGAGGATACAGGTAAGCGAGACTCATTACCTTTGTTTCTCTGCATTACCAACTCACAAAATGAGTAAACATCACTTATATTGTATCACATCAGTTCAGAAATACATATTGTTTCTGATTTCATCCAACTGTTCCTGCAGCGTTATTCCTGTTATGCTTAAAGGTTGATTTAAACCATGATCAATATCAATGTAGCAGTCCTTTGAGGACTGAACCATAGGGCTTGTGGACTAATGCTGGTGTGGGAAACACATTATGGAGCTTACAAGTGGCCTATTGAAAAGCCATTATATCTATATTATTTGTGTTTTAGCACTTTTTCCACACAAATACAGATCTCTCGCTTAATTTCCACATTTCGTATTTGTGACAACAAATGTTCCAAAACAAAATAAACAAAATTAAAAAACAAGAAAATCCTTCCACAGATTGAAAGTCCGCAGAATGACTTGAATGTATATGATCTGTATAGTGCTAGTGTAGTCACAAAGTCTTTGACCTCTACGGAGGTCACAGGGAGAAACACATTAGAAAGACAATGAAGACATTAGGAGCTGCTGTTGACTTCAAAAAAAGACAGTCAAGATAAAAAAAAATCTAAATAAAAATGTGTTTCTTAATGAGATAGTACAAACTGTTTTTTAAACCATGTAACTTCAGAAAACACAACACCAAGAGAAAAGGGTTTGTCTATATCATTTTACCCAAGCCTGTATTACATATCAATTTGGCAACAACCATGACAAATATATATGTGTTCCAGGTCAGAAAACCGAAGTTACTGTATTTAAACTTTGAGGGAATTTAAAGATATCGCATGTCCAAGTGTACCTCTAAGAATAAATAAAACGGAAAAATGTGAAATAAAAAGTAGCAAAGTGTACAACATGTTCTTTAATTGGACTTCTTTGTAGTACAAAAATTAAGTATTTGTATTCTATCTGCTATGAGCTGGTGGACTCCTAATGCCATGCTAAAATGCACAGCAGCAATCAGTGTTCACTCACTGATGAGGTTGACAATGATGGGTGAAACCTTGACCTTTGCAAGAGCATCATGGAAAGTCTTCTGCTTGAGGCTGCGCTTTATGTGAGGATTCATGACAATACTGGACATTTTGGGATCCTTGATCATGGCCTGCAGAACAAGATGGCACACAGCAAAAGGCAACTGAATGTATGCAGTGGAAGAAAGGTAGGCTGTGTTGAAACAGCATGGAAATTTGCAAAACTTTGACAACGATCAGATTCTTATCAAATGATTTATTCCTCAGATATACCACATATTTATTACCGTTTTTTATTTTAACAGTGTAAATGAATTACCAACAATAATATTTTCATAGGGGGAGAAACACTGCTTGCATCATCCACTGACCTTTACATAATTATACTGCAATTAGGGGTTACAATTTTTGACTTACAGATAATTTTCCAAGCTCCTGCTCCACTTGGTCCAGTTTGTTCTGCTTGCTAGCAGCTGAGAACAGAGCAGTGGCATAGCGGCCCTCCACTCCATAGACCTGGATGGGAGGCTGTAAGGATATAAACACAGATTAAACAAACTGCTAACACTATTCCTACTAGATAAGCGGTAATGCTCCGTGCAGTGTCACGTTATTCACCTTAATCAGTTTCGCCGCAGGTCTGGCCACAGACGTGCTGAGCTGGCGGACCTAGGATAGAAAAATTGCACAATGTCATCACAGAGAAACCAAAACTTGAGCTTAATAACTTTTGGCACGCGTTGTACCATTTACGTTGAAGACAGCTAGCTGGTAGGCTAACATGTTAGCAGTCATTCAAGTGCAACGCCTCGTGTGCATTTGCTGGACATTTAGCGTTATATCCTGGTCTCCAGATGGAGAACAATATTAAAATATGTTTTTAAGGTACATATAATTCAGTCAACACTATCATAAAATGATTAAAAGCACCAAAATCATTGAATGTCTTACCTGCTGTCCTAGCATGAGTGCTGCCATTTTCTCCTACAGCTGGCTAGAGTAGAACAACTGACTGCGCATGTGCACTTGAGAGGAAGCTGTCTCGCTGTGGGTAATGTAGTCTTTTCTGTGTGGCGCATTCTGATAGGAGGGGGAAAGGCTTTCTAATGAACAACCACAAATTTCTAAATATGTTTTAATTTCTTTCTAAGTTCATCCAGTCAAGTGAAAAGAAAAGTTACATATGATTTTTAAGCTCATATATCATAGCATACAGCCTACTGGTTGTTTATTCTGACCTATACAAACAGGGCTCAACACTAATTTTCAAAAGAGGTTGCCAGGCTGACAGCCAGTAAATAGCTTTTGGTTGCCAATACTGAAAACATGTCACTAGGGCTGGGCAATATATGATATCATATTGATGTCGTGATATGAGACAAAAATCATCTTAGCTTTTGAATATCATATCGTACGTGTTGTCTTTCCTGGTTTTAAATGCTGAATTGCAGTAAAATTAACTAATTTTTAGACTATTCTAGCTGTTCAGTTATTTGCCTTTACCTACTTAGCCATTATATCCACATTACTGAAGATTATTTTCCAAAAATCTCATTGTGTAATGATTTTTTTTTTTTTTTTTTTTTTGAAAGCGTGAACCCTACTATATTGTCACAATATCGACATCCAGGTATTTTGTCAAAATATCATGACATTCTTCATTCTTCATATTGCCCACTTTGTCAC